CAGGTGGGACAAAGTTTCAGGTAGACTCACCAAAATATCACACCAGGGTCAAAATTTTGTATAAACATGGAAAGAGGGATATTTTATATCTTTTATATTATTTATGGTATAACTTTGGGCCCCAAAGTACCAACTGAGAATCATTTAAACATAAAAGCCTGAGTATTGATAGTGACCATGTTCAACCCATTACACCCGCAGCGTACCTATCTTCTGATGGGTGCTTCCAGCAGGCTTAGATACAGTGGGGCAAAAAAGTATTTAGTCAGCCACCGATTGTGCAAGTTCCCCCACCTAAAATGATGACAGAGGTCAGTAATTTGCACCAGAGGTACACTTCAACTGTGAGAGACAGAATGTGAAAAAAAATCCATGAATCCACATGGTAGGATTTGTAAAGAATTTATTCGTAAATCAGGGTGGAAAATAAGTATTTGGTCAATAACAAAAATACAACTCAATACTTTGTAACATAACCTTTGTTGGCAATAACAGAGGTCAAACGTTTACTATAGGTCTTTACCAGGTTTGCACACACAGTAGCTGGTATTTTGGCCCATTCCTCCATGCAGATCTTCTCGAGAGCAGTGATGTTTTGGGGCTGTCGCCGAGCAACCGGACTCACCCGCCACAGATTTTCTATGGGGTTGAGGTCTGGAGACTGGCTAGGCCACTCCAGGACTTTCAAATGCTTCTTACGGAGCCACTCCTTTGTTGCCCGGGCGGTGTGTTTTGGATCATTGTCATGTTGGAAGACCCAGCCTCGTTTCATCTTCAAAGGTTCTCACTGATGGAAGGAGGTTTTGGCTCAAAATCTCACGATACATGGCCCCATTCATTCTGTCCTTAACACGGATCAGTCGTCCTGTCCCCTTGGCAGAAAAACAGCCCCATAGCATGATGTTTCCACCCCCATGCTTCACAGTAGGTATGGTGTTCTTGGGATGCAACTCAGTATTCTTCTTCCTCCAAACACGACGAGTTGAGTTTATACCAAAAAGTTCTACTTTGGTTTCATCTGACCACATGACATTCTCCCAATCCTCTGCTGTATCATCCATGTGCTCTCTGGCAAACTTCAGACGGGCCTGGACATGCACTGGCTTCAGCAGCGGAACACGTCTGGCACTGCGGGATTTGATTCCCTGCCGTTGTAGTGTGTTACTGATGGTGACCTTTGTTACTTTGGTCCCAGCTCTCTGCAGGTCATTCACCAGGTCCCCCCGTGTGGTTCTGGGATCTTTGCTCACCGTTCTCATGATCATTTTGACCCCACGGGATGAGATCTTGCGTGGAGCCCCAGATCGAGGGAGATTATCAGTGGTCTTGTATGTCTTCCATTTTCTGATGATTGCTCCCACAGTTGATTTTTTCACACCAAGCTGCTTGCCTATTGTAGATTCACTCTTCCCAGTCTGGTGCAGGTCTACAATACTTTTCCTGGTGTCCTTCGAAAGCTCTTTGGTCTTGGCCATGGCGGAGTTTGGAGTCTGACTGTTTGAGGCTGTGGACAGGTGTCTTTTATACAGATGATGAGTTCAAACAGGTGCCATTCATACAGGTAACGAGTGGGGGACAGAAAAGCTTCTTACAGAAGACGTTACAGGTCTGTGAGAGCCAGAGATTTTCCTTGTTTGAGGTGACCAAATACTTATTTTCCACCCTAATTTACGAATAAATTCTTTACAAATCCTACCATGTGAATTCATGGATTTTTTTTTTCACATTCTGTCTCTCACAGTTGAAGTGTACCTCTGGTGCAAATTACTGACCTCTGTCATCATTTTAAGTGGGGGAACTTGCACAATCGGTGGCTGACTAAATACTTTTTTGCCCCACTGTACCATGTTACAAGGTTCAAATGATCTCAAGCAGGTTTCTTGATGATTCAATCATAAGATCTCAACCCAGTCGAGCACTGTTGGGAATGTGGTGGAACAGGAGATCCACCTCATGGAGGTGTAGCCAACAAATCTGCAGCAACTGTGTGATGCTATCATGTTAATATGGAGCAGAATTGGTGAGGAGTGTTTACAGCACTTAGCTTGATCCGCACCACAAAGAATTAAGTTAGCTCTGAAAAAAGGCTCCCACAAGGTGTACCTGATAAAGTGGATGGTGAGTATATGACGCATTAAAAATAAAACAGAGCTTAAAATAAGTGCATTGAAATCCCATGTTAATCACTGATAGGGTCTCTTCTTCAGAAGTGTATTTACCTTCAAGTACATTTTGCTTAGGAAACCTTTGTGCTTTAATAAAACTGTAAATCCAGCACAACCCCTGTGTCTACAATATTTGTCTTAAGTGGTGGTAATTCCTACGTTTATTCAGCTTTACTTGTTCTGAATATGCCAAAAGTCATACTCAAGATCAAGACAGTAGTTTTTTCTTTTAGAGTTGTAAACAAGTCATGAAGGTGCTAATGTTAGACATAACTTTATTTTCTTTACTTCAAAGGACAAAAATATCTCCACTTCCAGGCCTGTGATGCAAAATGTTACCAAGTGGACTGTGCTGATTACATATTACCTCAGTTATTTTCAGATTAGCACCTCGTGTCTCAGCTTAAATCACAAAATTTGTGCTCACTGTTCTGGATGCCTTTATTTAGAATTTAGAATCACAATTCTTCCACTGTGTGCACCCTTAAAAGTCTGCGTGGTGGTGGTAGTACAATAAAGGACACCTACAGAGAGACTACAGTGCATGCTGCTACAGGCCAGCAAAGCATACCGCTCCAAGTGGGTCCCACTTTTTGGAAAACACAGCCTCATGTCTTCACAAAGACATGTAGTTACTGATACTCTGCAGCACAGCCACAGAATCCCCTCATGGCTGCTACTGTTACAGATTTTACATGTCTGTGCTCTCATTGACACGAGTGAGGGTTGTGATTGGAAAAAGTTGCTCACTAGCTTGTCGTTATTGCAGCAGTCTGTGGCTATCTATAGCCTCGACCTGCATATCTTACTATGTTTAGACACTGTATACAACTCCATCTGTCACCCGAGAGTGGCAGCTCTTTTAGTGATTTCACATGGCATGAGAATAGGGCGAGAGTAGTGACACGAAATGGAAACGATTATGTCGCAGTCTACCTCTAAATTTAAAGGAAATGTTAATATATAATCATATGAAATCAGAATTTTGGAGAAAATATTCATTTTTAATAATGGTTAGCACTGTTGTGTACGCATGCATTCAGCCCAAATGTGCCACATAGACTGAAGGTGACCCCCCTGTTCCCCAGCTCAGCTTCGCCTGCACAGATTTGTCACCCTCATGCCAGTCCCAGAATAGATATTTTTAGCACTTCTGTCTGATGTTGTATCACATTTACAACATGTGGCCTGTCTGCGTGTCTCGCTGATTTCAGAACATACCTCTTAATGAGCCTCTAACAGTCGCTCTACACCTTGAATTTGTTACATTAGTACTTAACACAGTATTACATGTTGCGGATCGCTGTAGAGAAAAACAAATAGAGGTAATTAGCGATGCAGAAGTTAAAATTTGATTCAGTTTTAGTAGAAAAGCTGAGGAATTTCCTTCAGTTGATATCTTTACAAAGGAGGCCTATCAAATGTCATGTTTATTATACCGTAATATGACTTCAATAAGGAAATTGTCTAGTGGTTCAGCTGAGTGTTGTTGTCTCATTGTGTTTCTCAGCCATTAGCTGGTAAAACGTATCTCCCACAGTACAAGAAATAAAATTATAAGATAAGATAAGTATCAATCCTGAGGGAAATTTTTACAGTCAATAACAATAGAACCAAGAGCAGAAACACGAACAGTGCGGAGTCACAGAGAGTAAAAACAACAACAACAAAAAAACCCTCAACTGCTAAAAAACAAGGTGCTGAAAAGAACAACATTATGAAAAATAAACATAAATACAAATATGATCATTATTAATAAGGCTAACACAACTTGCAAATGCAAATAGTATTATTGTAGTAATAATCCTCCTATCTGGTAAAGAACATGTGTTTTATTTAAAGATTGCTTCACTGTTGCTGCTTTAAACGCACATACCTGCAGTTCAAAAACAAGACAGTTTCTTTTGTGTTGCCTCACAGAGGAAAGGCCTTTCCTGTCTGTTATGCAACAGCTTGTAACTTTTTTGTGCAATAAAACCTCTGACTGGGTAAAAACAATAGGAGCCTTTTAGGCAATGGACAAACTTTTTCATTTTAGAGGAGTACCCTCACTGCTGATGTATTTCTTGAGGCATTTATTAGGTTTTGGGGACTAAAATCCTTTATGTTGGGCTGGATTGTCTTTTTTGTTCTTGTGGACAGTCTGCTTTGTAGTAATAAACACCATAAAATGAATAAAATTGTAAATTCATATATTACACACATTAGTTTTTATCATAACAAAAGCTACAGTGAGCTTTAAAAACATTAGAAGCCAACCAGTTTATTGTTAAAGTGTATTGACATTGATACACCTTTATTAGCCCTACAAGGGGAAATTTCATAATTTCCCCTTGTGGAAGGTCTTGTTATCTCTGTAATAACAAGACCAGCAGCTTGTTTTGTAAAAACCCCCAAAACAAAACAACCCCCCCCCCCAGCAAATATCTATTTGACTTGGCTCTCCTCTGGAAACAACACCTCTTCTTCGTTAGATGGGGTCAGAAGGAAGGTTGTGAAGGGCTCGTCGGCATGGCCTTTGTTCCTTCTTTTGGTCCAACTTGATAATCATTCAAGCTGGTGCCAGTGGCAAAGCTCACCATTCTTTTTTTATTAACCTTGCTGAGGCTGCCTAAACCAACAAAACACTGCAAAAGTTAGAGTCAGAACTAAAGAACAAAAAAGAATAATAAAAAGTTCAAAGAGTGAGCTTTCAACCCCTCAACTCCACCCCTTCCTTAGAGAGCAAACGCCATCCAGACGTCCTAGTTGCCATATTTCCTCACACAGACACTGTGGCTCTGCGGGCCTGTGCAGCCTTAAAGTTGACCACACAAAAATGTTAAGCCCTGCATGCACACAAACAGACAGCAAAGCTCATTTGTGTCCTTACTTGCTGCTGTGTGCTCCACCTTTCCTTACTGTCCTACTTGAGTAATTGGATTCCCATTGATCCTATCCTAGCTCTAACAGACTTGTGATAAAGCAAATGCTCAGGGAGATTTAAAGCACTCTTTCTGTGCTAATGCACAATGGGGGCAGAGCGATATTGCATATTCATAAAAGGTCAGCTTTCAATGTCAAAGTTGAAGAGTGAGCTGATAAGACACACCTCCTGTCCATTTCTCTGTCTTGTATTTATCCTTCCTGCAATCATCCTTCTAACGCTCACAGCATTAAAAGACGCACTCGGCCCCCAAAATCAAATCACAGTCTTAATTCAGAGCACAGTACTCCTTCACGTTTGATCCTGTAGAGGAGTCCAAGATTTATTTTCTGCAAGTTTAAAAAAAACAAGAGAGAGAGAGAGATCCAAGCATACCTGTGTCCTCTCGATGAGCTGCTAGATGAGAGATCAAAGTGTGATGTGCATTCAGACACAAATTCACAAATCAACAGATAGGCAGACATGCATGCTGGAGCTGGCACAGGAGTAACAAGGTAGGCAAGCTGTGCAAAAGTCTCTCTCTCTCCCCCTCCCTCCTTGTCTAGCTCTCTCTCTCTTTTCTCTCTCTCTCTCTGAGCCACCCTACTTCCCAAATCCATCACATAAGAGCTGGCTGGAGAGGAGTCAGCAGTGACTTCACTGTGAAGCAGGATAAATGTTGTAAGTCAGCTGACTCTGAATTAATCAAGGTATGAATCTTCGTGTTTGCAGTCTCTAAAGGTTGGCAGATGTTTGCGTGAGTAGCATTCGCTTAGGTCAACAGTCTGTGGACTTTTTATGTTCACTGTCCAAACAGCAGATTATCAGTCAGCTCACAGTGTGCACAGCAGGAGCACAGAATGGAAAATGCACGTCAGATGGGGAGAAGAGCCATTTTTAAACCAGAACTTTCCAACTTCTAGTTCCCCCTGCTGGCAAGACACTTCATAAAAGAAGGAGCAACTTCACCAACATGTTTTATTTATTTATCTGCCTTGCACTTATTCTTTTTAACTGTATATGCCACTCTGCACTCTCAACTACCCTGTGGGGATAAATACAGTTATCTAAATCTAAAAACTATAGTTTTACATTTTAAAACGGCACTAAAGCTCTGTATTTGTAATTATCTTGTTTCATCCTCTCATTTCTTCTGCTTTCTCTCTGCTGTTAAACATTTATACAAAGAAAGCAAAATACCACAATAAAGTCTTAATTTTATTCTACAGAAGTATGTTTGAGTTGGTTTGGAAATAGGATGTTAAAGTTGGAACTGCCAGGCAAGAAGAAAAGAGAATGCAGTGAAAGAGGAAACAAAGGTTAGTATGGCACAGGAGAATGCCAACAAAGAAGACCACAATTAAAACCTGAGATGGTTTTCCAACAGTCTTGAAGGAGTTCCCAGAGATGCTGAGCACTTGGTGGCACTTTTGCCTTCCCTCTGCGGTCCATCTCACCCCAAACCATCTCAATTGGGTTTAAGTCAGTTGACTGAGGAGGCCAGGTCATCTGGTGCAGCACTCCATCACTCTCCTTCTTGGTCCAATAGCCCTTATGTCACAGAGTGGGAATTTGTATTTGCCTTTTATAATTGGTTTTATTCTGATTTTAGTGTTTATTTATGAGTGTAGTTTTTATTTGCATGATTTATTCTGTTTGTGTTCCATGTTTTTATATGACATTGTTTTAATCCACTGTGGACTGGCTAGGCAAATTGGCTGATAGCGATCACTTGCTGAGGCATGGGTGTGTCCCGAGGTGGCCTATCAGCTCTTTAAAGGACCTATTAAAAGTGAGCTGGCTGAGCACTAATGGAGAGAGGCCCCACATATGAAGAGGAACGCGTGAAGGCGAGTGTGGAAAAGAGGGACCAGCTGCCTGATCGTAGCGTGCGACGGCTCATTTGGAGATGGACCGGTTCCGACAGCAGGGCAGAGGTACACCTCTGCCTGCATTTGTGAATAGTGTCTCCACTGCTGTTCACCAGGTGCAGTCGTGTTGGGAGAGGGTCGCCATGGCCATTAGCCAGGTCAGCTTCCGGGACGATGGTTCTGGCCAGTAAATGTTTACTTAAAGGGCGAATCCACGAGGGGAGCCGCGGTGGCATCGAGCGACAGACTCCAGTGCAGTGTGTGAGCTGGGCTGGTATGTGACGAGCTAAGTGGAGGGACGAGACGGGGATAGGAGGCTTCTCCTTGTCTGCCTGGGACAAGGCTGGCGTGGTCCCCGCTTTGGAAGAGGAATTTTTGTCCTGCTCATGAACACATAAGGAACATTCATCCTTTGTTGTGGGTCAGTTGCACCGTGGGACTGGGTGGGATTTTAGATGCATGATAAAAATTGTTGTCATATTAGGCAATTAGGCAGTTTCGTTGTAACACTTGATGGTCTTTGGGACTGCACTTGGGGACAGATTCAGAGTTTTAGCAATTTTCCAAACTGACTGACCTTCAGTTCTTAAAGTAACAATGGACTGTCATTTCTCTTCCTTTTTTTTTTTTTTAAACTTAGAGTTCATATTATAGCAAGAATCAAATTTCAAATAATGCTGCCAGCTGTGTACCAACCTGACTTCTGTCCCAACCCCATTAAAAAGGTCAAGAAATTCCACAAATCAACCCTGACAAGGCACACCTGTGAAGTAAAAACTGTGACTACATCATGAATTCATTCAATTCATTGAGAAAAGGCCAAGGGTTTGCAGTACTGGCAACAAAGCAAATGGTGGCTACTTAGAGGATTCTCAAATATAAAACATATTTAGAGTTACTTATCAAATTTTTTTCTTTGCTACATTGTTCCATATATCTTGTTTTATATATTTGATGTCTTTGGTATGTGTCTACAGTGTAGAAAGTAGTAAAAATAAAGAAATGAGAAGGTTTGTCCAAACGTTTGACTGGTAGTGTATATTCGAAAACATAACTCCTATTTTGGAATATTGAAGATGCCATATTGTGATATAGATACGAATAAAGCTCATAAAGAATACATAATTATATGATTTGTGTTTTCTTACATGCCTCAGGGAATATAAAGGTATTTACTAGGGCTGGGCCATATTATACCGTTCACGGTAATACCGGTATAATGTTAGGCAACGATAGGAAAATGAAATATCGCGACAGAATATGAGTAAAACGCCATGCGCAGTGCCTTTGTTTTCATACGCACATGGCCGATTGTTGAGTGAAACAGATGAACCAGAATTGGTTTGTAAAAATGGTGCAACTTCAGTGATGTGGAACTGGTTTGGTGTTTGTCCGTCAGATACACGACAAAGCACATTTTTTTTGCAGAACATGCAAGCGGCCGTCGTTATTGTCGTATTTGTCGGACTAAGATGCTCTTAAATCTGGGAGTAATCTGGGTCCTAAACTCCGTATGCTTCAGGTCAAACGAACACTGCAGCATCACTGAGAGTTAAAAACTGTCTAAATTCTTTCATCTTTAATAAAACGATCAGCATTGCTGCTTTACCAGGTGTAACTATGAAGTTTAACATCCAGGCATCCATGAAAACAAAATTTATTACATTTAACGGAGTTAGAAGTTAGCAGGAAGCTAGCGGAAGTTAGCTCGCTAGTTTCGCTAGTTACCTAAGCATGATATAGCATGTTCTGACTGAGAGATTTCTGAAAAAATCAAACGTACAGCTCTGCTATCACTTCCAACATAAATGAAGACAGGAAACTAAACAGCAGTGACGTTTGTAGGGTTACTGAAGTTGGGCTAGCTGGTATATAATGATGTGCTACGTGATCGCTAGCGACACAGCTATGTTAGCATAACATAAACAGTGAAGCTGGAGGACGAACACTAACACTTTTCCACTTATAAAAGTTAACGTGAAGGTTCCTCATGGTTAGAGACAAATGCAATCGCATGGCAGGATGCTGTAAACGGACCAAACTTCAGTCAGGAGAACAACTGAGATAATCCATCCACAATACGAGGTTAGTCATTAATATACTGCAACAACATGGGAATAGAGCAGCTGCCAGAGAATTCAACATTAATGAATCAATGGTACAGAAGTGGAGGAAGCAAGAAGAATGAGTTTAATAAAGTTTGATTTATCTGACTGCTTTGTTTCGCTTAATGTGCCTTATAATCCCGTGCACCTTATGGTCCGAAAAATACGTACTGCACACTGCAGTTTAATGTTGCAAAGCACCTCTTTTTAACTTCAGTGGATATTATACATGGTTATGCTCAGGATATGTCAGCCCATTTCTACTGGAAATGCCTTTTGGTTAAACTTTCAGCAAGGAATTTGCATTTGCACTGTTACATTTTTATAAAGCTTTAATGTACATAAAAACCAGCTTCTTGTTTAAGTGAAAATAAATGGAAGGTTGTCTTTTTGCGCTAGTAATGTTGTGGAGTTGTATTTTGTCTCGCATCAATTATATCGTCAGTTATATCGTTATCGCAAATTTTCAAATATATATCGTGATAAATATTTTTGGCCATATCGCCCTGCTCTAGTATTTACTTTTCTCATTTCAGCATAGACAAATACAGTTATAGTAATATTCAGTAATATTGTAGAAATAAACAACTCTAAATAACCTTTTCATATAATTTAAAACAGCTGTAGTAGCAGGCTAATAAAATAAAAAACAAAAACAACCAGAATACAGATAAGAACTTTATCCTGAGAAAATCCTAAGGGAAACTACTATTAACACAGTAAATGTAGTAAAACAACTACAAACAATATTATTATGAAATACATAAACATTATTATATGAATAAAATATAACAAATATAACATTTTAATTGTTACATCAACTCAACCTTAAACCTTTTTTTAAACTGTAGCAATAAAGATTTTTGTTAAGAGATAATGTACAGAAATAAATATATTTATACTTTCTAACTTAAAAACTGATAAGTTATAGTTACGTTTATACTTCACTGTGTCCGTGACACGTTGAAAACTGAGTAAACAGCCACTTTTTTCTTTATTCACTCGTCTCGCTCCTTCCTCGCACTTGACGACCTCTTCCGCCGGAAGTAAACATCACGTGACTCTGAAAATCAGCTGATCCTCCGTAGACATCTTTACGAGTCACGACTGCGGCGATTAATTCAAACCGTCTTCTCTGTTGTTCTCGGGTACATAAATGCCACTTTAAAGCTTAAATGTTGGGGTTAATTTCATTTTCTGAGTAATCGCGGTCTCTGTTTCCATTTAGCGGTTTTTATTATTCGTGATTTTTTAATTCTTACTTTCTCCGGCAGGCCCAGGCGGATCTTTGACAACTGCAGCCATGGCGCTGAGCGATGCTGACGTACAGAAGCAGGTAATGAACCGTTTTCACCTATATAAAGACACCATTTTAACGCTTGTTTTCGCTCGTTAAAGAAGCGACTCGTTAGCCTGTTACAAACCTGAAAAATGCTTTCAGCCGCTGTAGGATTTACAGGAAGTCTGTGTGTCAAAGGAGAATGACATTGAGAGAGCTGCAGTAGGGTTAGCACTGAATTAAACACAAACGGCACCTAGAGGACAATATTTGTTCTTTAAAGGGGTGCTTTTTTTTTTAACATAAGATTGACACTTGGACCCAAATAAGCAGCTATTTCTGCAGCTGAGACTTAAGGATGTGATACTGAGGGTCATGCATCTCTGCATGATCACATGATGAACACATGCCAAGAAGGAGGAACTTGGAGTGAGTGAGCCACCGTGTTCTCACTGGAAATCTCCTCAAATATGGAAAATAAGTCTAATAAAAAGTTCCCACTGTACACTGCCATGACCAGGGATTTCTATATCAGTTGGCTGTTTGACACACATTAATAATATATTTAATTTTCAACAAATCTTAATATTAGCTACTTTTGCTGTTGTTTAAATAGTTTTGAAACAGCAATTAAAGTGGCAATAAAGGGTTATGGATTAATAAGTTTTTCTATGTGATACTTTTATTTGGTGTCAGAAAATATGATAACACATTCTCAAAGGCCAACGTTTTCCCGTGTATCATGGGGTACCAAGTCATGAAGCAAAAGTGATAATTATGTGGCTCAGCGGTCATCATGGTAACATTTTGGATCTTGTGGCAGGGAAACTCCCCAGTTCTTAATCCCATCGAGGATTGATTCCTAAAAGGCAGGAGGACAAGCGGAACTTTGAGCTCTGATAAGTCAAGAATGGCTCATTGTCAATCAGAGGAGGGTCAACACTGTAAATACTGACACCGTCCAATATGAAATGCTCATGAGTGTCCCTCGCTATATCTTAGAAATGTGTAAAACCATAAGTATAAAAGTTTAAGCACTAGATTGTACAAAACACAGAATTTGTGTGAAGCCATTGTGGAATTTCTAGTAGTGGGCCATCAGAGGGCGACTCTCCTGGCTGCCAAAACCCCCCAAAAAGATTCATGGTTGTATAGAAATCTGTGGGGAAACAGCTCCTATGTGACCTCAGTGGACACTTTCCTGATGACTTCGTGGGCTCAATTCCTAGTTTCAGGTTACATGGAATAATACACGAAGTTCATTATCTGAATTAATAGAGTTGCTGAACAGTGAGCCCGTGGTTTAAAATTATAGTTTGTTTTTTTTTTGAAGGTGTCTTTTTCCTATCTCAAACCAGAGATGACACACCTCACACAGTAAAATGTACTAATCTTTATGGGATATCTTGATATTTACCAGACTAATGCTTTGCTATCGTTTTACCAAAAGTTTAATGATGAGTTTCATTTCCAGTGTATTGCATTAGAAAGGAAAGTCACAAGTTGCATTAGGTGCAAATCTTTTTTTTTTAATGTGAAATAAGCTAAGTATATTTGTCATGAGGGTCTTTGGAGGCTCTGAAAATATCTTCAGATCAACAAAGATCAGATCTAATGTTGTTTAAAGATTAACGTGTATTAGATTTTCCAAAAATCGGATTTGGAGCGAAGTGAAAATAAAAATCAAAGAAGCTGTTTCTATGGGATCTAGATTTTATGGTTTTTTTTATACAACACAGGCTTGTTTTTAGTTATATTTTGTTCCCATCCACAGATTAAGCACATGATGGCCTTCATCGAGCAGGAGGCAAACGAGAAGGCGGAGGAAATTGATGCAAAGGTATGAAAACACATCACCACACAGTGCTGTGCACAGATATCAGGCTGGATAGATTTTATGTCTTTATTCGTGAGTCAAAGCTGAGGAAAGACAGGGAATTGGACTATGTGGACAGACATTAAAGGTCACCTGTAACTTTAAGTTCATTAATTACATGAAGACAATGTTTAGAAGCATCAGGCCTCCTGGCCCCCATCAGACTGTGTGTCATTACATAGATTTATTTAATTGTTTTGTCTTAAGAGGAGAACAAAAAAGCAACAAACCAGCTAATATATGCAATCAATTATTTTTTTTAAATTGCAACGTCCATCAGCGGACAGTGCACATAGAGCGGCTGGAGGCGAGTGTGATTTGTGACATAAAGATAGCAGAGAGTGAAATGTGGTAGCGAGAGCTGCTGTGATGTGTGATTTGGAGACGGTGGCAGAGATGAACATGCCAGAGTGACAACAAGGCACAAGATTAGAACGGAGTAGATCAGAAGGACAGCTCAGGTTGAGTGTTTTGGAGACAAAGTTAGAGAGGCAAGGCTGAGATGGTTTGATTGTGTACAGGAGGGATACTGGGTATATTGGACAAAGGATGCTGATTATGGACCTGAGAGGAGAAAAAGAGAAATACCTCGTGGGAGGTTCATGGGTGTAGTGAAGGAGGACATGTAGAGGGTTGATGTGACAGAGGGTGGTGGAGAAGGGGGCGGATGATGGGAGAAGTCCAAAGTAGAAGAATATCCATCCATGTTCTGCTGCTTTCCAGATGCTCTCCTCAGCCACACTGTCTTCCAGCCCCCATTACTTGTGGTGTTGGTGTTGCCCCCCCCCCACCCACCCACCTACCCACCTACCTACCTACCTATCTGTAAGGGAGAACTGAGAGACCCATTGGAGGAAGCTCATTCAATAGTTTGTAACTACAAACTTCTATTTTCAGTCGCTACCAGAGCTCGTGACCATACAAGTCACCTGCATCATGTAGCTGAGGGTAGAAATGTGAACAGAAGGGGAAATTGGCAGCATTGTCACAACAGTCATCTTTACTGTGACATTCTTCCAACTCCTCCAACGACCCAGAGTGGGTTCTCCAACTTTTTCCGGATGAGAGCTATGGCCCCAGGCTAGGAGGTTCCTGCTGTAAACCACTTCAGGGCAAGCTGGAGGTCACCTCAGGGGTGATCAGTGCAGCCCTTGTAGACTTCAACACCAGTCAATCACCATTAGGTGGTGCTGATGCTGCATGCTTGCATTACAAGATGATATGGATTGCTCTCATTGTGTCACATATGATGGTCCACAAGTTCCAGCAGCCCTCAGGCACTATTTTACAGCAAGGAAAGCTGATTATGAGAAGAGGTGAGAACCTTCGTTGTTTAGTGAGGTTCCCAAAATATTTTCATGTTTCTCTTACATTATTAGAGTTAAATATTCGTTTTACATGTCATTCTTTATGTGAAAAAGATTTCTGTTTGCCATGAATTCCTCTGAGCTACCTGTGTCTCTTCCTGCAGGCAGAAGAAGAGTTCAACATTGAGAAGGGCCGCCTGGTCCAGACCCAGAGGCTGAAGATAATGGAGTACTATGAGAAGAAAGAGAAGCAGATTGAGCAACAGAAGAAAATGTGAGTCGTGGCGAGACATCACAGGACACATCGTGCCCATCCCTTCTTTCCTTCCTCCTTTCAATCTGGCCTTTTTAAGAACAAAGAAACGGCTGTAATGTGACAGAGTTTCTGTAATTTTATTTAGCCACTTCACCCAACAGTACCTCCTCTGTGACCTGCCTCGAACAGTGTGCAGGGTTAAGAAAAGAGCAAACACAGTCTCACTTTGGGATATAAGCAGGACCAATGTGTGTGTTATTTGTCTGCTTAACAGTCAGATGTCTAACCTGATGAACCAGGCTCGACTGAAGGTGCTGAAGGCCCGTGATGATATGATCTCGGTAAGTCTCTGTCATCAGTTTATATACATACGAAAGATGGGCTGGTTAAATATCACGGCTGAGAGTGCAAACAGAAGAGATCAGGTGTGTTTTTGTACCCTCAGGAAATGCTGAATGAAGCTCGCCAGCGGCTCGCTAACATTGCAAAAGACCCGGCCAGGTATTCAACTCTTATGGACGGACTGATCTTACAGGTTGGTTTATACTCCGAGGCCTGCCCGCTAACATCCCACTGACCAATGAAATTTACTCTGTAAAACAAGTTCCATCTGTACTAAAAGATTTCAGCTATTTTAGAGCAGCAGGATCCTCATTTGTGTCCCCAGAATGTGAGAGGGGGGCTGTGACCCTGCCATAATAACATCACTGCACTGTAAACACAAGGATACACACACTCTCAGCATAAAGTCCAAATGTGTTTTACCTCTGGCGTGAAAAATAAAACTTTTAATGACATATTAAGTTGATTTCACCGAGTTTTCAGCTTTTTTTTTTTTGTTGTTTTCGTTTGCTTAAATTCAATAATATCAGCAGTTATTAAATAAAAACGGGCCTAACACAGCTACTTAGTTACTGTATATCTCGTAGTTGCATCAGTTATTTTTGGACAGATTGCCTGCCACTGCAATGCATGTGGATCCTTTTAATTATTGACCTTGTGACTTCAAATTTATGTAATGAGTCACTTCAGCTAATTTATCATAAAATAAATAAAAGACAATGATTTAGCATCTCCTCCTTCTGATTCCAGCAGTGCAGAAAGCTGGGATGATACCTGAAGAGGTGATCTTGTAGAGAAGACCAGCCAGACTTTATGATCATATCAATCTTGTCTGGCCAATTAGATAAGCTAATTATATTCTGTTTAGTAAATATGCGGTGGTATTTCACTAATACAATGGATGTGGATGCAATTAGGTTGTGTTCCTCTGGATAATCCCCTAAGAACACTGTCTCCAGTTTAATTTGTCCTGTAAAAACAGCCCAAACTTACTGGACCTCCCCCTCTTGGTCATTGGCATAACTTTGTGCTGAACAACAAGATCTGTCTAAATAAATAAATAAATCTGGGTAAATTCCCAGATGATGAAACATGCAACTATTTTGCTCGTAATACCTGAAATGAGTAAAAAAAAAAAAAAAAAAATCAACAGCCTGTTTATGCAAGATAATTCATAATTTTATAGGGGAGGTTATATTGGTTGAGTCTGATTATTGGGGGGGGGGGGTCATAACCCCCCTGGAAATTATGCCCCTGCTCTTGTTAAATCCCATCTTTTAATTGTGAGGTACCACAAGATACAGGACTATTTATAAAGCATTCAGGTAGCCTCTAGGGATTAATAAACCAGTGTGGAAGCGCCTTAAATATACTTTCTGGAGGGTTTACATTGTGCTGATCCTAAACTTTATTGTATGATACAGAAAGGTTTTCATGATATAAAAATATTTGTCATTCTATGCAGATATTTAAAAACTAAAATAACATAATAACCGTCTCTCATCAGGGGTTTTACCAGCTGCTGGAGCCCAAAGTCACCATTCGCTGTCGTAAACAGGACATACCGCTGGTGCAGGTGAGTAAAACAGAAGGTGTCTCTTTACCCTTTTTACCCTGCAGTGCAGTATCACCTGCCCTGCTGTGGGCAGTGTGGGGAAAACCCAGTTTCAAAGTTATCATGTTTAATGATACGTGTTCAGTTACTGATGGGAAATTTTGTGCTGATCCAGTTGTTTGTATCAGATGAAATCTCATCCCAAACTTCCTTGTACCCTTCAGGCATCCATCCAGAAGAACATTCCCATATATAAAGCAGCCGTGAAGAACAACATTGAGGTCCGCATTGACCAGGATAACTTCCTCTCCCCTGACGTGTAAGCAGAATCACATTTGAAAGACAAACCAGTGATCACTAAGGGGAAGTTCTCTTGAAAACTTAGCCACCTCTTAATTTGAGATCAAAATGTCAAACTTTTTCTGCATGCAGGTCTGGAGGTATTGAGATCTATAATGGAGACGGGAAGATCAAGGTGTCCAACACTCTGGAGAGCAGACTGGACCTCATGGCTCAGCAGGTAGGAAATGCATATCTTATCATTTTATCTTTCTTGTTTCACACATTGTAAATGCACTAGTTTACTCTAACTGCACATTATTCTGTTTATATATAACAAACTTGCATTTTAAATCATCGTCACACTGGTGGCATGGTGTTAAATTCTTAAAATGTACGCAACAGAGAAAAAGTAAGACAGTATTCTTAACATGCATTTGAAAAAATGACTTTGCTTTAATACCAAACTTCATTTTTCAGTGCAATATTTTTTCTGTTTTAAACTTTAAAAAGATACACAATGCTTATGTTCGACGAAATTTGAGGCTTTTAATAAATAAACATTACCTACTTTGAGACATGTCACTATATTTACCAATATAAAGAGGATGAAGATAGTTACCGTCTCGCTGTAGGCTAGTTTTTCATTTTGAAGTTAATATCAGTGTGTTTAAAAGAGGTGAGCAATATTTATTTATTTATTTATTTATTTTCTAAAAATTCAGTAAAACTACACTGTAGTCGCAGAAAATGGTCTTGCACTTCATCCAGTAACATACTTCTTTTTACTCGGTTTTTATTTAGTGACTTTATGCTATTAACTGTAAATAAAACAGGAAAACAAGTTTTGTAGTGTTTCTTTTTCATTAGTATTGCACATTTACAGAGGTGGCAGAGAGCAGAGTTATGACAGATGGAATATTAAGTCAGTACAGTAGTGGGTGTTCAAGAATATTCCATATATTCTAACTTCGATTTTAGTAATTTGCTGAATCAGCTTGTTAGGTGACAGAAAAGTTGAGGATTGTGCAAAAGTCTCGAGCCACCCATTTTTCTTTATATTTTGCTTTTAAGGAGCCACAGTTCTCCAGGCTTTCTGAAGTTCTGTCAAAGCTTTGCTTTGGACATTGGAAGCTTTTTCACTCATTTTCAGTCCTGCACCTGATAATTTTTTGTTTTTTTTGTTAAGCCACTTAACAAGAATCTGTGAATCACACATAAGGACACCTAACCCAAGGGAAGAACCAGTGTTGTCTGCATATAACAGATAAACTATATAGTCCCAAATAACAGTCTCAAGGTGCTTAATATTAAGAAAGAGAAACTGAGAAAAGGTTGAGTTATGCCAAATTACTCAAGAGCTGGACTGAAAATCCAGTGGCAACAGGTCTTATGGAGGTGAAGCCACATTTTAAATTTTTGGTTTAAATTGTATCGTATATGTCCGGAGGAGGTCGGGAGAGAAGTACAACAGAGAGTGTCTACAGCCGTCTGTAAAGCACAATGAAGGTTCTGTCAGTGGTGTTGGAGTTCTATTTAAAATTGATGCAATTATGAATGCAGAAAAGTAGAATCAGATTTTGATCCACCATCCAGTACCATCTGAAAGCATCTGACCGGCAACAGCTTCATTTTTCTACATGACAATGATCATAAACACACAGCAAAAACATACCTGGATAGAGAAGCACACAGTGGAACATTTTCAGTCATGGATCAGACTCCAGAGTCCAGACCTCAACGTTATTAAAGCAGTGTGGGATCATCTTAACAGCCAACATCCAGAAAAGAGCTTTAAGTGTCCTTCAAGAGGCCTGGAGAACTGTTCCTGAAGACTTCTTTAGAGAGAGTTGAGGCTGTGAAGAAGAATAAAGGTTGTCACACTAAATACTGACTTTCAAGTTTGTTGTACAAACTCTGTTTTTACCTTATTTACTGTATTTCCACTTTTTTTTTTTTTTTTTTCTGGGTCAATATAAAGAAATTAGGAGGGGCTCAAGATTTTTGCACAGTACTGTAGTTAGTTCTAGCTTTACTTTCTCAAATATGTGAGGAGTAAATTGAACGTCTTCTCATTTTAGATGTTTGGTCATTCAATAAAAATGTAAATGTCTCCTCTCGGGGTTTCGGTTTTATAAAGAAAGTTACTCTGAGATGATGGTTGTTGGCTTATCCTGTCACTCTGTTTGCAGATGATGCCTGAAATCCGAGTGGCTCTCTTCGGTGCCAACCCAAACCGCAAGTTTATGGACTGAGAACCTCTGCTGTACGAGAGAGAGAGAAACACTCCTTTTAATTTTTTATTTTGTCATATAAAAGACGTCATTCCTTTATGTCTGTGAAATTTCTGACGCAAAAAAGATGTTGTTGTGTGATGTATTGCTGTATTTTTTTCTGTGCATTAAGGGACATGATAGATGCTGCAACTCAACATTACAGATGTGTACAGCTGTAAGCACTGGTTTGCTCTGCTGCTCCCATTCATGGGCCTCAGTTTACACTGATCAGTCAGGGAAGACGGGATCGAGTGACTGGCTGGATGTTAAACAAGTTGTCCTCTAACTGGATTAGTTTCATGACAAACATAGCATCTGTGTCACGGTTTTCCCAGTTTCATTACCCTCTGCACCACATTATTGGTTGCATGGAGCATTGTGTTGATAATAGGTGTCTGCTCCAGGCAATCGCACATATATATATATATATATATATATGCTCGCACAGACATACAAAAATGGAATCCGTAGAAACAAAACTGAAGGTTGGATATGATCTTAGAGTTAATTTATTCCTGTTACATCAACTGTACCTTCTCCTCCTGTCATGAATTAAAGGAGTGGCTGATATCAGAGTTAATTTATTCCTGTTACATCAACTGTACCTTCTCCTCCTGTCATGAATTAAAGGAGTGGCTGATATCATTCCAGAGGGTGCCCTGTATGTATATGAGGTTTCCAGATTAAATTATATGTATGTGTGTGGTTGTTGTTTGTTTTGATTTCTCATCTTTTTTCTTTTTGTTGTTTTTTGATTGTCTCAAATTCAAAATGTTTTATTGTGGGAATGTGTATAAAGTATAAAATCTGAACCATTAGTATTTCCTCTCTCTTCTTTTTGACTCGCACATTGTTCTCGCAGCTGAATGATCTCCAGTCTTTCCCATTTATTTTGCAACACTGGCCATTCATGCTTCATTCATTAGTTTATCACATGGTATTAGTCAGACAAAAATGTCCCAATTATCCGGTTGCTCCAAGTATTTTTCCTGACATTCAAGAGTTTCTTGTGGAAAACAAGCCGAGCATTTAAGGAGACGGTGGAGAGAGACACAAGACGCTGCTTCTTGCTGTTCTTGTAAGTATGGTCTTGTTTTTAAAGGAGTTAGATTTGCCTTTTAAGATTTGTCTTCATTTGTCACTGTTACCGAGAGCTGTGTGCTACTTTCGTTACCTCTTATGCATAATAAATGTGGTCCAGAAAGTAAAACGGTTATGCTAGAAAGTTGAATTTGTTCATCTGGGTACAGTGTCCTCAGCATCAGGATTAACAGAATCAATTTTCTGGGATTTGCTTACCTGGATTATTGAGCATGTCTCAAAATAAATCAGTTGAGTGCGGCTTCACCCTAGAATCTGTCAGCACTGTGTGAGCATGTTATAATCCTAAAGAACTTGTAACAAGCTTGAAATTTATTCAGTTACTATCAAAGCTACAAAAACTTCTCCTTTAATGACAGTATCCGTGTCTTTCATGGAGTATCTTCTCATTTCCAGCACCAAATACAGCCTGCTCCTTTCAAAAGTGAGAACATGTTGTTCTAGTAGGGATACAGCACCCTCCGGTGGCACACAAGGACATGGTGATCTCATTCCTCTGGGCTGTGGTCACTTATGTGCCCCTTCTGTGGTTTGTGAGGGTGACTGAAGGGATGCCTGACCCCGCTCAGAGGGACCTGCTGATGCGTCAGGAGGCATCCAGGCAAACGGGAGGACAAGTGGTGCTGACAGCGGCCGAGCAGAAGCTGGACGCTTACCTCCATCGATTGAAGGAGCAAGAGATGTCTGCCACACCTTTTCCTCCTGCTTTGCATTTCTTCAAAGCAAAACCTCTCATTGAGAAGAGCCCAGTCTTTAAACTGCTGCAAAAGATGCCTAAAGGTGATGTTAAAGCTTTGTCTGGCCTACTGCATCAGTCCACCAGAAACAGATGCAGGAGCTTAGAAGGTCAAGGGGACCCAACCAAACCTAATGCTGTTATTGTTTATTTTGGCATTCAAAGGTCATGGTCATTGTGACCTCAGGTTAATCCTAAATGTGGACTCAAGGATAAAGTGATTAGATTTTGGCAGAGAAAGAACAAAAAGGTAAAGCACTGCAGCAATTCTCAAAAGTCATATTTCTGGTCTCCTTTACGTCACAGCTGCGCAGCACGCCCAGGCTGCTTTCTCTGATATTTCATATACTGTAGTGTGCTGTAAAAGCTGTATGTATTAGCAATGGAGAGAAAAAAAATATGATTTGGGGAAAAAATTAAGAGGAATGCAGATGTGGTGCTTGATGTCTAATCCACTAGATGTTTTCAGAAAAGCAAAGATGAGCAGACAGAGACTGAAAAATATTAAACAAAATCCCTAGAAACTGTGAGGTTGTTTAGTTTTTCTTAGATTTATCAGGTGTGGGAGGCCTTTAATATTCCTGAACCCTAGGGCCTGTCTTACAAGTCATCAATGATTACTTTCAGTATTTGCCTAAGTTTGAGGTTACATCTTGCTGTTTGGGTGACAGGCGCAGCCCTCCACATCCACAGCTCCTCTCTGGTCAGTGTTGAGTGGCTGGTGAAAAACGTCACCTACAGACCTAACTGCTACATCTGCTTCACTTGGGACAACTCTGTCCGCTTCCAGTTCTCAGCTCGCCAGCCCTTCCCACGCTGGGACTGCTTCTACTGGCAACTGCTCGAGACCTTGAGAGCCAAAATAGGAGATCCTACTGGCTTTGATAACAGGTTAGTTAACCTCTAACCCTCTCCTGAACATGTAAAGTCAAGCTGTAGTGGGAGAACTTAACACTGAAAGGTTGTTTTTGGGTGGTTTACAGTTTAATGCAGCACCTCACTCTGGTCACCGAGGATCCAGATGGTCAATACCCAAGCCAAGACGTTGTGTGGGGGAAGTTTGAGAAAGCCTTCATCGCATCTGCGGGCTTAGTCACCCATGCTCCAGTCCTGAAGGATTATTTTTATAAAGGCCTAGAGGAGCTTCACCGCGACAACATCCTGTATCTGGAACTGAGGAGCGGTCTCTCAAGGGTTTGTTTGTTTACACCTGATCCTTGCAGCATCAGCCTGTGCTAAACAGCTACAGCAGCAGTATATCCGACATTTCTGCTTTTCTAACTGAAACCTTTCTGTGTTGCAGACATACGAGCTCGATGGAACTATTCACGATAAGTTCTGGACTCTGAAAACATTTCAAGAGGTTACAAAGAAATTTATTGGAGACCATCCAGACTTTCTCGGGGCTCGTATCATAATTTCTGTCCACAGGTAAAATATATCATAGAGAGGGCTTCTCTCAAATTACGCTCCATTTCAAGTGACAACCAAGGCTGTCTAAGCACTCCACAAATTAATAGCTTCATTGTGGAAAAGTTCACAGAGCCTATGTATGCCTTTTCTGTGTCTTGTTTTCCTCCCTTGACCCCCAATCTGGGCTGCCTGTCCCTGAGCCTGGTCCTGCCAGGGGTATCTTCCTGTTAAAGAGTTTTTCCTTCCTATTGTCACCCAGTGAAGAGGATTAGGGCCACTGGGAGAAAAAGTGGCCCTAATCCTCTTCCGTATATAACTCATAGAGGCTCAATTGATTGTTGGGGGTGTCTCTATATTATTTCAGGGTCTTCATCTTACAAAATAAAGAACCTTGAGGCAGGCTGTTGTCATTTGGTGCTAGATAAAGAAAAGTGAATTGAAATAAATACAGGGATAAATGTTTGGTATTGTAAAAGCTTTATCCCGCTAGAACTGTTGAAGCTGGGTTAAGAAAAGACGATCAGTGAGCAGCAGTATGGCTTCACCCTGAGAAAGAGCACTACGGACGCTTGGAGTGTTGATGCAGAAGTGCAGGCTGAATGTCAGCTTCACTGTTTCTTTGTGGGTGTAAAGAAAGCAGATGATGAGTGCCAAGAGAGGACCTGTGACACTGTATGTGGAACTCAGGAGTGACAGATATTTAAGGTTGGAGTGAGATTGCATCGGCGGTCTGCTCTGAACCCCTTCTTGTTTGCAGTGGTGAAGGACAGGTTAACGTAAGGTCAGGCATGTTTCCAGATGACATTGTGCTCTGTTTTGACAGTAGGGAACAGTTTGAAGAGACCCTGGAGAGGTGCAGGTATGCACTGCAAAGAAGAGGAATGAAAGTCAGTGAGACAGGTGGAAGGCGGACAAGGCATAGATGTAGTGAAGGTGGATTAGTTCATATACCTGAAGTCAGCTATGCTATTAGAGGTTTAAAAGAGTGTGAGAAGAATAGAAGCAATAGTGAAAGGGAAGCAGGAGACAGGAAACCAAGCTGAAGGAGGCAATTTTCATTGGGAGTGACGAGGATGGCAAAGATTAAAGTACATTAGAGGGACAGCTCAGTGGTTTAGAGACAAAGTTAGAAGGTTAGGCTGAGATGACTTGGACGTGTGCAGAGGAGGGGATATATTAGACAAGACAAAGGATATTGAACTTGGAGCTCCCAGGCCATAGCTGGTGTGACAAAAGAAGATGCTAAGGCAGATTTACAAACCTGGACTTGGTGGCATGCTGTTAGATTACACGTGAAAAAAAAAAATGTATCAAAAGTGCAGGCTTTTTAGGTCCACAGTGATCTGTAGTTAGATGGTTCATTTCCTCTTCAGCACAGAGGATGGCACATTTGTGATTTCCAAAAAAAAGCTCAGATTATCCAGACTGCAGCACAGTTTTTACACCCCTTTAGCCCATCTAAAATTAGCATGGGCTCAAAGAAGGCAGCTGTGTTTATGGATGTTGTTCATAAATGATTTCTTTTTCTTGTATCATAGACTTTTGGATCAGTGGAAGCAGTGATGAGTGTTGTTGATGCACTACCCCCAGAGAGACAAGGATAGGCTTTCGGCCTTATCCGTTGTATACAGAGATTTCTCTGGATTCTCTGAATCTTTTAATAATATTTACACATTTTTTTTTTTTTTTCAACTGGAATATTTGATCATTTAGTCTTTCACTAGTCTTTTTTCAAGTGGTGAACCCCTCCCCTTTCCTTTTTAACTAGTGAGATAAGGAGCTATGAGTCTTTTTAGAGACAGTTATGCTACTAATTACCCTCATGAGTTGTGAGACAGCACACTAGCTCTTTTATGTGCATATGTTTTACCATTATGTAACTTGTCCAGGGTTTTTTTTGGACCCTGTCTCGTGGAAGGTAGTTGAAAATTAGCTTTTATTTTGCAACATAATGTTTTCTTTGAAATATTGTGTGTGTGTCTTTTTTTAACCGTCTTCAGTTAAATGTAAAGAATTCAGTGGTTTTCAAGTAACTCCACTGGAAATGTAGTTTTACTTAACCCTTTCATGCATGAATTATGACAACCTCAATCAGGATTTTTTTTTAAGTATTTTTATTCATCTTTAGGCATGAAAAGATGAATAACTTATTAGATAATAGCCTTGTAACCAATGTATGTACCTCCAAATTACTTCCCACCACTTACTTCCAACCGCTGGCAGCACATTTCTCATGTTAAATAAAATGGGGGCAAGATGTTGTGATCTCCAAGCTCTACTTTAAGTTGAACTGTGTTTCAGTTTGGAAAACAATTAAATGATAATTCAATATATTATCTCGAATCATTCGGCTTCCTGTTTTCTTGCAAAGGAAGCAGCGACAAAGTCCAGTTATGAACAGGACAGTCCATTCATTTGATAAATCCAAACACATGAAAAAGGGACGTATAATGATTTCTGCAGCTGTGATGGAGTCCTGTTAAATCCTGATGTTGTGTTAATCCGACAGAAAGCACGTTACAATTTAGGGATGAAAAGTTTGGGAGCAATCTGAAGTCACTGAGACAAGTTTGATAGCATGACTGATATCCTGACATCTGTGAAGTTGATTTTGAATTTATTTTTTTTTAGCTCTGCTGGCAGCAGACTGAAATATACATATTAAACTTTGCGCAGATACTCAGGGGCTCCAAAAGGATTAAACCTGATTCCTGATTTGGTGATACGCTGACTTTGTTTTTTCAATATAGCACCAACTGCCACAAAATTTTATTAAGACATTCATTTTTAGGTCAAATTTTACTTTAAAGTAACCATTTAATTTAATCTTAAAATGTGCATGTGTCTTAATTTTACTGGTTTAGATTCAGCATGTGCCTCAAAGTACCACTAGAGTAAGCGGCTATGACCATCTACTTGTAAGTTCCCCGTTTATTTTCCTGGACAGTTCTGTTAGGAAAACCTGCGCTTAAATGCTGATAAGGTTTATCACCTGTTTTCAACATTGGAAACCGATTTTTCTCAGGCAGGCATCTTAACTTTTATATCTTGATGTAAAATTAAACATTTTGTTGTTTGTGAGTCTTAGAAAGTATTGTCATCTATGTGTGTTGTTCCTTTCTTCAGAGCTTTGAGTATATCTGAGGTCAAAGCTGCTGTAAAAGAGGCCATTCAGCTGCAAAAGGACTTCCCAGATGTCGTTGCAGGATTTGACATGGTAAGAAGTGACCCGTGTACTTTAGCCTCAACTTCTTATAAGCTCTGAGTCCAGAGATCATTTATCTGCTTATTGGGGACCATGTGGTGTGGAGTTTACATGTCTGTCTGACTTTTCTGCTCTTCTTGTATTGTGCCTACAATCCTAAGAAATTCAAGTTAACTCCTAATTCACCTTAGATATGAGCATGAATGGCTTTCTGTCTCTCTTCATACGACTGACTGTCAGCTCTTGCAGGGTGTACCCTAGCGTAGCATTACTAGTTAACCTTATGGTTTGCAGGTTGGACGGGAGGACAGCGGGAAGAGTCTTTGGTTCTTCAGAGAGGCCCTCTCTCTGCCAGCTGAACTTGGTGTCAGATTGCCGTACTTCTTTCATGCAGGGGAGACAGGTGGGGGGATCAAAAAGCATAAAGCTCATTATACCATGAGTAAGATTTGAAAAATTATTTTGAAATGTACTGTACGCTGTATTTGTATCTATGTGTACAGATGACGAAGGCACAGACACAGATCAAAATATTCTTGATGCCCTTCTATTCAACACCATGCGCATTGGCCACGGCTACGCTTTAGCGCACCATCCGCTTGCCAAAGAACTTTCTAGGAAAAGAAATGTGGCTGTGGAGCTTTGTCCCATCTCAAACCAGGTAAGCTGTTTGTTACATGACAGTCTAAGGAGCTTGGAAAGAAAAGCGTCTGGACTTCTTTAAGTTGCTTGAAGACGTTTCACCTCTCATCCGAGAAGCTTCTTCAGTTCTAAGGGTCAAATGGTGGAGAGTCCCAGATTTAAAACCAGTGGGAGTTTCCCCCCAAAGAGGGAACAAAGGACCCCCTGATGATCCTCGACCTAATTGCCTGAGCCAAGGTGTGAAAACGGGTGTGGGTCACAATCAGCCAGGGTTTCAGGTGAGCTCATTGTGAAACCTGGCCCCACCCTATCATGTGGTTTCCTGAGGCGGTGGTTTATGACACCAACTGTCTGCCATATATAATCCAGTTTTGAGATACCTTCCCAGGCGCCTGGGCCATCTGACCTCAGCAAACCACATGATAGGGTGGGGCCAGGTTTCACAATGAGCTCACCTGAAACCCTGGCTCTTGGGACCCACACCCGTTTTCACACCTTGGCTCATGTGATTAGGTCGAGGATCATCAGGGGTCCTTTGTTCCCTCTTTGGGGGGAAACTCCCACTGGTTTTAAATCTGGGACTCTCCACCATTTGACCCTTAGAACTGAAGAAGCTTCTTGGATGAGAGGTGAAACATCTTCAAGCAACTTAAAGAAGTCCAGACGCTTTTCTTTCCACGCTCCTTAGACTACGATGACCTGGATGACTGAGAACCTTCACAGAAATATTTGGATGACATAACCTCCGACCCACAGCTTGACTGTGTTGCGCTGAATACCTTTAAAGCTACCAGAGCAGAAGACATTGCTGTGATTTGTAGCTTCTTCGTGATGTAGGATTAACACTATAAAACAATCTAACTTTAAGAAGAGACCACCTTTAATGTTATGGGCAATGCAAAGTGATATACCTGTAGAAGGCTGTGAAAAAGCATTTGCCCCCTTTTTGCATATTTGTCACACTTTTAAATATTAGAGAAAAATAACCTAAGTAAATTCTAAATATCTTTTCAATGATGATTTCATTTATTAAGAGAAAAGTTATCCAATTGCCCCGAAACCTAATAACTTGTGTCTCCTTTGGCACCAAGAACTGCAATCAAGTGTTTGCGATAACTGACAAGAGTGTTTTTACATGGCTGTGGAGGAATGTTGGCTCACTCTTCTTTGCAGAATTGCTTTAACTCAGCCACACTGTAGGGTTTATGATCATGCCAAAGCCCCTCAATCGTATTAAGTCCGGACTTTGACTAGGCCACTCCAAATCCTTCACATTGGGGGTTTTTTTTTTTGTTGACATTTAGATGTGGACTTGTGGGTTTTCTCTTTGGAAGTCTCCCATGGATGCACAGTCTCTTTCTTAGCGTGACCTGACCTTAACTGAGGAGAGTGAGGTCTGCAGTTCTTTAGATGTTGTTCTGGGTTCTTTTGTGGCCTCCAGGATGAGTCATCAGTATGATCTTTGGTAGTAGTTTTGTAGCACTTTCTGAAATATGGTTAAAAACAACTCATCTCATACGTAGGTTGATAAACTTTCCAAGTCAAGAACAAATGTAAAACTAAGAAAAATGTTAAGTTGTCATAAAAATCTTTAATTTATAAATGATATCTTGCTACCAAAGACAAAAGTCAGCTGGTACAATGGCAAGAAATGTCGATTAAATTAACATGATTTAAAATTGTAAGATTATCTAAATCTATCAGGTGTTTTTGAAGAAGCTTAAATGCCTAAAAGTCAGGAATTGATGACATTATTTTAAATAAAAGTGAACAGAAATATACACGTCACATTAATGACCTGTTAGCACTGCCATCATAAAATACACACAGTATGTACATGTGTTTATACATAACTTATCTGAGTTTGTTTCACCTCTGACCTGCAGGTGCTGAAGCTGGTTTCAGACCTGAGGAACCACCCTGCTACTGTGCTGATGTCAGAGGGTCACCCGATGGTCATCAGTGCCGATGACCCGTCCCTGTTTGGCACCACAGGCCTCTCCTATGACTTCTATCAAGCATTCGTGGGCATCGGAGGGTTGAAAGCAAACCTGGGCACGCTCAAAGAACTGGCTGCAAACTCCATCACGTCAGAATAATTTCACTTTATTTCTTTCATTCATGTTTTAACGTTAAGCCTTCAAAGAAAACAAGATGGGCTCAAAATGTGGTGGCCAACAGCTGATGCCAGTTTTCATCATACTATCTTTGAATGAGCATGAATTAAATTATACAAGTGAATGAATTTCAGTCCAACATACACTCAATGATTCTCACCTCTCAATAAACATGAAGAACAATTCTCAGGAATGCACTGGAAATATATCAAATCAAAGGTTTATTTATTTAAGTAAAGTACATTTCATCTGACCAGATTCCATTAAATTTAACATTTTCCTTAGAAAATGTAGATATAATTAGTTAAAGTCAGCATTACGAGCATACCAGTTTTTAAGTGCACGAGGATGACTAAACTCATGCTATCAGTAACAGTATCCTCCAATATGATGTTCAGCACTATGCTAACACAGAGTTACTCATGTTTAGTAAAATTTAAAAATAAAAAATTGAGCCAAGCGTTCAGATAATGTCCTTATTTATTTGTCAGGACAGCAATAATATTCATGCTGGAATTGCATTTTTGAAGCAACTTATAAATCTCTCCAAGATGATTTTCACATTAAAAAAACATGAATGTTTATATTATTTTAAGAAAACCTTTGGTTTTAAGCCCTGTTGCAGTATGTTTCTTTTCATTAAATATTTCTTCTTCTGCCTGCAGGTATAGCTCACTCCCAGCTCATCTGAAGGATTCAGGTCGTGCCATGTGGCAGAAAAAGTGGGACGCCTTCATTTCTGCCAACTCATAACAGCCGAGTGATATTAGATCCTGACTGACTTGAATGAATGACTGAATGTTTGTAATATCACTAAGGTAAATATTCATAGGCCTTTAGCAGACTGTATTTAAAAAAAAAAAGATTAAGGCTATTGGAGTCTCTGTTAACAGTAAGACTAACAGTTTGACGGCATTGGCAGGTTGGTACTGTAAGTGTCTTAGTAGCTTTTTAACCCCTTGAGCGATCACGAAGAAGCTTTACAAGAGACCAGCTGACAGTGGGGGGGGAGGTTTGGTCAAGTTTGTCATGCACAGCTAGTCTTTTGTCTTCATAATACCAAACATGTACAGGGGAACTATTCACAAGGAAATTTCTCTATTCAAAACAAACAAGAAAAATGTTTCTTTGTAGTTGATGCACATACATACGTATAGACATACATACATCTAATTTAAATACAAAAAGTAGAAGAAAAAAAGTTTCACTTTTTCAGTGACTCACTTCAGAAACCTTGTTTCTTTTTTAAATAATGATGTAACGAAAGACAACTAAAGATCTTTCTTTGACACGAGGTTCACTTTTTGTGCAATAAACAGCTGATTATCTTCTGAGACCTGCCCAGCAGTCTCTTAGTGGTCTTTGATGAGATTTTGTATATTCCAGCTCTGACCGGTGCACTGCTGGACGATGAGTTGGTAAAAGCCAACGTCATCCTTCGCAATTTCTAGACATCGCTTTGTTTTTCTGTTCTGGATCGGTCCTCCCTGCAAATAAACACATTTTATTGTCTCCTTTTCTTCTCCAGACATTTGTGACTGGCTTCCATGTGACCTCAGATTAGGCTGATTTTTTTTTTTTTTTTTTTAATTTATACAATAACGTCACCATATTTGCAAGGCTCAGCAGGGTGGTGGTTCGAGCCCTGGCTGCTCCAGTCTGCATGCCAAAGTATCCTTAGGGAAGGTACAGAACCAACCCCAAATGGTTCTCGAATACATCCATCAGTGTGAATGTTAGATAGAAAGCACTTAAGCATAGAAAAAGTGCTGTGTGACTGGGTGAATGAGGCATGTTGTATAAAGTACTTCGAGTGCTCAGGCAGAGTAGAAAAGTGCTACATAAACACAAGGTTATTTGCCTTGTAAATTGACCTTCATGCTTTGAAAATTGTCTGCAGTACAGGCCCTCAAATTCTAATACTTGGTTGAAATTAGGGGTTTTTCCCCAATGTTTATATTTCGTAAGAATATCCGATAACCAACTAAGATTTTCAGGACTGAAAAACATATTTAAGCTAAGTTAACAGACTACCATCAAATTAATTTTACATCAACTGCAAAAACTTCTCTATTGATCATCAGTATCATTGAATATGATGATCCATACATCCACTGGACTGGATGTATGGATGTGTCTGCTCCGAGACACCCAGACCTCTCTGCCCTGAGGCCTCCTCCATTTACCAGTAATCTGCTATAATCTCGTGATATTTAGTTGACTCCAACAAATGCGTCTCATCAAATTTAGATGCCTCACAGCACTGTAGGCATTCTTAATCAATATTATACAGACTTGTTTTATTTCTCAGAGGGTGAAGTTTTGTTTTTGTTTTGTTTTTTAATGTGTTTGGGAGCAACTGAGGACCACAATGAACATGTTAAAAAAAATGCAAAACATCACCTACTAGGTGATCAAGTTTCATTAGTTGAGCTTATGCCTAGTGTAGCATAAGCTCAACAGTCCTTTGGCTGGACGAGCTTAAAAGCTTAAAAAAAAAAAAATCAGCTGATTCAGAGTGGGTCGGGTGGCAACTTCCCTCAGGTTTGACTGAGTCTATATTTAAAAACTGAAATATTTACCTGTTTAAAATCCCACAGCATGTGAAAGTCTTTCTGTTTGGCTATTTTGCAGTCATACAGCCCCGGGTAGAGACCACTGAAAGGGTCCACTAGACAGCGGTTGCTGTTGTACTTATGAGATTTGATCCCGCCAATGTAGAGTTGTCCATCAGAGCGATAAAAACAGTGCTAAATCAAAGAACAACAATTACCTACAAAAACAAAATCGCCACCTGTTTGCAAGCATTGAATATCTAAACATACTTGACTCGAATAGAAGTGGCATCCATACAAGATGGGTGTGTTTCCTGGCATCGGGCCTTGGTCAACACAGAGTTCTGGCTTCAGATCATTTATCATCTGCCAACAAAAGCACAAATAAACTGGAGCAGCTTTCATTAGAAAGAGCACAATGTGTATCCAGCAGACAAATCCAGACGCTATTATGGTGCAGAAACACATTTTAGTTAACTGATATAAAAATAAAAAAGATGCAAACTGAAACGACATTATGAGTTTGCAAAACTAACAAAAAGTATTTGTCAGTGAGGCCAAATTCACAAACCAAACAAGGATTAAGAGGCAAATTATAACATGAAGTATTGCGTTTGTATTGTAATATCTTTTCTAAACTACAATAAAAATACTCCCAACACTGTATTTCTTTTAAGTAAATGAGTAAATTGACTCTGGAACAAAAACAAAACTCTAACTTTAAATTAATTCTCAATTAGAAAAGATGGGAAAGGGGAGTTTGCTAATACTGCAATGTCACTGTACCAAGATTCAGTGCAATTAAATATTAGCAGAAGCACCACCAAGAGGGAGTTCCTTGAGAGCATTCATGGAAAGTTTGCTTTACAGATGCTCTCACTATGAAACACACCCTGCATAAAAACGAAGTAAGAGTACATAATATTCTCCAGTGAATGAATCTATTGTAACCGTGAGACAACTTGATGTATCCCCAGGAAAGTCTTCAAATAAAAAAATAATATGATAAGCGTAAAAAAAACAAAAGCTGCTTAAAGGTTCTTTGCTGCTGGTGACGTCTGCCCATGTTGTGTGCTGATCTTCATTGTGTAATAGGGACTAACATGTGTGTGAATTTGAACTTGCTGCTGCATCTTGTAAGCATTTTATGTCACATATGACTCCTTAGAGGCCAGCGCATAAGCCTGAGTCATTTTATAAAGCCAACAAAGCTGACTTGACAAGGCAGAGAAGCTTGCCTTGCATCATCCTCAATTAAATATTAACTAAAAATTAACTTTGTAATGTTAAATAATTTATTTATGGCTAAAACTACCACCACAGATCATGATTAATAGTGTGCTGGAACCATTTTAGACTATCTATGTAGCATTTTCATTGCTATGAAGTTAGTATTATTAGCAAGCGACCTCAATCACAGACTGTATAAAAAAAGATGGATTTTGCTTCTGAGTCTGAAAACTGGCTCCTTCACTCTGTGACCTCAGTAAACACGTTTATGGTCTCAGTCACAAGTTTCAAGCCCTGTTTACTTTACTGTTACCACCCTAACACAAAGATGGCGATAACAAAACTGCTCATGTCGAGGTTTTTAACAGAACCTCGCAACCATCACAATAACTACATCCATCTTTTATATACAGTCTAGGGAAGGTATGACAAAAGAGTTTGTATCTAAACTACTTTTGGCTTCTGTTGTCAAATTTGGCCACATATTTGATGGACTCCCTAATACAACCCTGGAGACGACGTGTCTCTCCAGCTGAGACAAACCAGCGAAAACAAATGTGTTAACCACTACGCCACTGGAGGCCCAGCTAACCTCAACCACTCACGACAATATGTTGCACAGTCTATCACTAGCAAAATAGCTAAAAGAAGACAGTCCTGGTCAGTTCTTTTGCTACAATCCAACATAGCAAGTAAGTGGCTAAATTTGACTCACAGATATTGTTATCTGTTTTTTTTTGGGGGGTGATGTTATGGGGCAGCAGAAAAGAGGCCTTTAAGCCTGTGATTTAGGATAATAAACATCACATAAATCACACCAATTTGTTTTTGCAGACAATCCATCATACAACCGTTACATTAAAAAAAAAAAAAAGTCCATATGTAGGACATTGGAGGCAACCTCAGAACTTGGGGAAGGTCTCATTTTGAAATTTTTAAAGCTGTAATACATTTATAGGGGGGGAAACCCCTTGAAAAGCATTAAAAACATTCCACAGAGAGGCCCTTTAAATTAATTAATTAATTATTAATGAGAATTAAAGAGTTAAAAAGACTTTATGGTCACACTTTAATATCCAACCTCTCATATGTATTCCGACAAAACAGTTATTTTTGACTTACAGCTCCATAACTGAGCAGGTCATGCAGGGGGTCCAGTTTGGGATAAACATTGTCTAAATACCACTTAAAGGGCTTACAATTAAGCCTCTCTCTGAGCTTCTTTCTCTCCGACACATCTCCGATGTCTATCCCATGGTTCTGTAGGAAAAACAATAGGACCACAGAGACATGTTTGAGTGCGCACACCATTACTCAACCTGCAGAGCACACAACTGTGCAATTTAGATCTTAAATGCAACTCGGAAAGTGCCCTCTCTTCTAACCTCAAGGGGAAGATTCCAAGCAATGTTGACATTGTATTTGTATTCATCTAGCCACACCTCTGCTACCCTCAGTGCATTACGCTTCATCATGACACTCAAGTCTGGGAGGTAAGGCTTTACTGCTCGTTCAATGTGGGCAATTTTAGAGCAAGGCACAACTTCAATGCTTCCTCCACACAGCCACACCTGTGAAAACATATAAAAGTAGGTTTGGAGGCTTTTAATGCAACTAATATAAAAAGGATTACCCATTAAAACTGATCACAAATATAACCAAATAAAGTTACATTGGAGTCAGTATTTGTAAAAGACTTTAAATCCAAGTGGTATTATTACAAAGTGGAAGCATTTAGGAACCATAACGTTGCAAACCACCTAAAGCCACAGAGCCTGGTTGCAAAAAGAAGTGTGTAAAGGCACATATGGTGGGGCTAAATAAAAGGTAGGTAGACTAACATATTTCAAATCTCCAAGTCTCCAGTAGGACTTGATCCAGTCAGTACTTACCCGGATCCCCAGCTCCACATTTTCCCCACCGTATATTTTCATTCCACCATCAAGGCTTCCAATCTCTCCGAAGAACTTGTGATCAGCCACAAGTATCCCCATGACTGAGGGGCTCCTGGTGACACCGTTTAACAAAGGAAAAACTGAATAAGCAAAGAATCTTACCATACAGCACTCAAACTAAGAGAGCAAAGCAAACCTAATTATAAAGAATTATGACCGCAAAGCCTGAAACACCAAAGCAACCAAGGATTAAAAAACAAAAAACAAAGGATGTGTGATCAAGGGTGTTCTGCTTTCATTCTAGCATCAAAAACCTTAAATCTGCTCTTTGTGTAACCTATAGACACCCACATGGGTGCTGTGTTACACTCTGCAGATTGCTTAATGCGAAAGATTTTGTCAGCAACTATCCTTGAATATTTGTTTTGGCAACACTGGCTCCATGTATACAGTCTTCATAGCTTTCTAAGCCGTGGTTCAGCGGAGAGTCTGAAACGTCCACACTGTGTTGTCCTGACATGCTGGGAGTTCATGCGTAAAATGTGATGTCTTTAAATGTGACTCTTACTTGCCAGGCTGCGTCTCATCATCCAGGGCATACCACTCAGGTCTGAAGGACTCGTACATGCACCACATTGCCCAGTCAAAGCCATGAGATGCAGTATTGTAGGAACTCAGTGTCAGGTCATCGTAGTTGACCTTGTCAAAAACAGGCGTCAGTATAACGGTCCGGTCCTCCTTAATCCGAGCCAGTAAAGGCTCTGCCCTAGACACGCACAAACAGTTTTAAAAGAAACATGAGGGCCAATTACAGGATTATCACCACAGCTCTGAAAAGAGTCACTCAGATCTTAAACCAACCATTGGACGTGGACTTCTATGTGAGCGTCTAAGATTGCAATCACCTCTCCCTCAGCTGCCTTCCAGCCCGACAGTCTGGCCTGGGTGAGGCCCAGCTGCTCAGAGTGCCGCACTTTCTTCACCAGGCCTGGACGCTCCTCATGGATAAAGCTGATGTAATCATCCAGCTTCTTCATTAAGTCCTCTGCAGAAAATAAAGAACTGTTTCAGCAATATGAGGTGCAGATTAAATCTACTCATGCCTCTAACAATCACTTTTTTTCTGATCGTTAGTAAAAACAATTCAAAGACTGTTTCACAAATCAGCTGATAGATTTGGCACTTCTTTGAATATAAAACAATATTTTTTTATTTGCCATACTCATAGTAATTAAAAATAACATACAGAGTACTATCCCTGTAAAAGCCACTCTGCTACTCCGAGTACTCTACACACGTGGTCGTGTTTATTTAGGATTATCAGTTCTTTTGTCAGTGGACAGCAACATCGCAATTACACATTACACTCCCTGATATAAGTTTTCAGTTCCAACCCACAAACGCAAGCAACCGTGTCCCATTTCAGTGCAGCCTTTGCTACTCAAACTACATCTCATATGTTACACTGATGTCTTTTATTGCCTGTAATAAAAGGATGTAGTTTCTGCCATCATTTGCATTATAAACTAAAGCTGCGGTGAGCGCCTTCCTTTCTCGCTTGGTTTCAGATTTGTCAGATATCTGAGTACCGTCCCTGTGTACATAGGATATCCACCACAGTCTGAAAATGATATGAAAATTATTTGGGAAGCATGCTGACTAACCGTTGCTGCTGTGATCGTCCACCAGGATGATTTCTTGGAGCAGCCGAGCTGGTGTCTTGTCCACGATGCTGCGTATGGCTCTTTTAATGATTGAAAGAGCTTCATCCAAATAGATTAACACAACACTGATGGTCGGCAGATCCTTCGGATAATTTTTCACAGCACACCTGTGAGCAGAAAAATAGCAGGCAGCCTGAAGAAGTAATAAATTAAATGTTTTTAAGTTGAAATTGTATCCTTTAGAGTTCACTCCACATTACGAAGTTGTCTACTGGATTGACATCTGGCGACTGTGGAGGCCATTTCAACTTATTTTCATGTTAAAGAAACCAGCATACAGGATCTGATGGTGTGTTATGCTGCTGGAAGCAGCCATCAGAAGACGGGTACGCTGTGATCATGAAGAGATGGACACGGTCAGCATCAATAGTGAAGTTGCCTCTGTTGTTTAAATTTTAATAATGTTGATGAAAGGCATGCTTTCTTGTTCTTGATGCAAAATTCATTCAAATATTGTCTTCTGGTGTTGTAGCCCATCTGCCTCAAGGTTCAACATGCTCTGCTTTCAAAGATGCTCTTCTGCATACTTTGGTTGTAGCAAGTGGTTATTTGAGTTACCGTTTCCTTGCTTTTCACTCAAAATAGCCTCACCTTTTACCCAAACAAAGGATTTTCTCCCAGATAACTGGCGCTCACTGGGTATTTTCTCTTTTTCTGACCATTCTCTGAAAACCCAAGAGATGGTCATTTAAGGAAATCACAGAAGATCAGCAGTTTCTGAGATACTTAGACCAACAACATGCCACAGCCAACATCAGTTAAATCACCTTTTTTCCTCAGGGTCAAGATTAATTGCAGAAGATAATCTTGACCGTGTATACATGCCTTAATGACTGACCGATTACATATCTGCATTAGCAATCATGTACCTAATAATGTGGCCATTGAGTGTGTATATGTACTAAATTCATATGCATTCATGCTAAGACAACAAAGACAATAAAATGTCATTGTTGCTGATCGATCTCAAAAACACACACAAAACAGCTCGGTGTGTGTTTTTAGATTTCCTTTCGGATTTGTGTGTTGCACTCACCTCGGAGGCCTGGTGTCGGGAATCTCTCTGTTGAGGGGCAGCCTGTCACTGAGGAAGGCGTTGTATCCATATCTCTGAAACAACTGCTCGGCTTCCTTCTGCTCCTCCTCCGACAGATCGTCACCCCACTTCTTGAATAGATCAGAGTTGGGGTACAGCTTCCTCACCATCTTCCTCTTGTCCTTCACCTCTTCCTTCCTCTCAGCTGCTGGTGCCCTCTTTTCAAGCTTTTTCATTAAACTGACTGCGGACAGAAATGACCACATGGTGTTTGCATTGTCCATCTAATTTGTTTTTTGTCTGTGAAAACCAAGTCAGTAACAGTCAGGTAAGAGCAGTTTGGTACTTTTTAGCAATGTCGACTTAAAAAGCGAAAATAAGTGAGTAGTAAAGCAGGCGGGTATAATAATTGTTACTTTAATTGTTTCGCTTCAGAAATTCTCATGTGTAGCAGATGAGAAACACCTCAGATGAACAGATCTAGCCTTCATTGTTTCTTCACTGAACTCTAAATACAGACTTTACACATAAGCAGCTGCCAAACGGAGACTTTAACTCACGCAGCCTGTTGATGTCTGTTTCCATCTTTTCCATCCTCTTGACGATTCCCTGACCCCTGATGGAGTCATTGTAATGGACCCTCTGCAGTCTCTCAGAATGAATGTGGACCTCCTTCTTAATAGAGCTGAGGTATAGCAATGTGAAGGCCACAATGAGGACTGTAAGCAAAGCTTTCATCCAGCTTGCTCTCATGCTGGTGCTCCTGTGTATGCTAGGTACACTCCTCTACTTCACAGTGAAAAGAGGTGGAGAAAACATTTCCTCTGCCTTTTACTTCAGGTGTGCTCTCCCTTCCTTTACTCCCCACCCCTTGCTCGAGAGCTGTAATCTGATATCCTGAAATTTACATCATATTCAAAGAAGTGTGTGCTGGAGACATGCATTATTCTCCACTCTGCTGTCTACATTACACCTGAGGTGCAGGTGTGTACTATTAACTGCACTTACCTGGGAGGGTAGAAAAAGAGGAGGACTCTGCAGGTAAGGGGAACAGGGCTGAAAGAGTAGTACTGAATTGCTTGTGGCACTGCAACATTATAGTCCAGCCTGTTTAGTAAAAACACATCGAAAAGGCCAGTATTTAGGGTTTGGTCTGTTTGGCAGCCCATTCTCACCACGGAAAGGAAAAAAAACAAAAAAAAATTGCCATTAATAATTAGAAATTTCAGGTTATTATAGCAAAAAAAATTCAACTTACTAATTAAAATTTCAGAACAAATAACTCAAAATTGAGGAATTTGGACACATAAATGGCAAAAATGAGCCCATGTCTTTCCTTTTTCTCCAGTGGTGAAAACAAGCTTCCACAGGTCTGGGTCAGATTTTGGAGGGGGGCTGTAGGATTTGAGTAATCCGTGTCGTGTTTCACCCGTATCCTGTTATGCCTCTGGCTTGCTGCTGCAAGTTATAAGGAAAAAAATACCAAAAAGCCAGCTAATAAGTGAGTTAAAAAAATCAAGCAGGAGCAAGTTAGGAATCTAAGGAGTTACAATTTCTTTATGTGTGACCATGATTTATCCAACAATGTCAAAAAATATCACATCCAATAAGAAAAAAAGGATATTTTTATTTCATTATCATTGGCTGCTTTTTCATTCATTTTAACTGCACTGCAGATTTTGTCCATACACTTGTGCACGTGACTAGCTTCATCGACACACTGCTTCTTTTTATTTTTGGTTTAGTTTTCATCGTTAAAACTGCCACACACAAGAGAATACAAATTATTGTTGTCATAGCAGTATTACAACTGTGCCTTTGAATTCCTGGTATTCGAACTTAAGCCAATACTGCTTCTGTTTGGTTGGTATACTGGATGTTAAAGACTTCTTAATATATTTGGTAAACATTGAACAGGGAAGGTTAGGAAAGGCATCCTGTGTGTAGATTATGGAGGTGTTAAGTTTATCCACCTTTGTGTATTCACTTTTCAGCCATAATTCTCAGAGTCCCAGAGGCACTGACACGTGACTGTTTGTTATTGCCCTAGCAGGCCTGCACATTGTATGAGTGTGTGTTGCCTCGCTGTTGAGCTCAGCCGACACTCATTTTCCCCAAGGAGCCAGGCTCCACTCGGGAATCAGCCTCCAAAGTATAAGGGCTGGGTCAATTAGTAGAGCTATAGTGCTGTGCTTTGTTTCAGGGTTAAACCTTGAGATAAGTGTTGCATTTTATGCTACTAGTAAGTAGTTTGCTGGCAGCAGAAGAGTTATGCTCTTTCTGTGGTGACCTTTGTAACAATGATGCATGTGCACAGACAATTATCAACAAGCACATTTGTGAGTGGATGGCAGAGGATGAGGATAAAATACAGTTTGGGAACAATAGTCATGTGAAACCATACAGTAGTACACTCTTATTTATTCAAAGTAAGTAAGAGGGAAAGTAGAAGCTGCACTTAATTAATGTACCGGTAAGCACCTCTATAAAAGAGGTTTTGGAAGTTTGCTGATCCAGCAGCCTGTAAAGCAATAAAGTACTTTCTTTTTATGCATCTAGTGAAACAAAATAACTGCAAATGGAATTAAGGAATTACAAACAACATTTTTATCACAATGCAGGCAGTGTTTATCGTAAATATATGACATTGATTTTCAAAAGATATTCCAGCTTGCTGTAGCCATAAATAATACAGTGGTACTAACTTGTAATGATGCACGACTGATGCACAGGCATTTCTAGAGGATTATGTAAAAGGTTATGAGGCGCTCTGTCAGTCATTTTTGGCTAAATGTGTGCAGTTTTAGAAAAAAAGTTAACAAGTGTGGAAAGATAGCATACGCATGTAACCTGTTTCTATATGTTTATTTAAATGTATGTACAAGATTTACAAAAAATGTGCTTTGAGTGGAGGTAACATGTCAGGTAACAATTCAGGACCAAAAAAAGAAAAAAAAAAGAAAAGAAAAGAAAAGTGACACTTCAGACATGAACTCACACTTTCAGAATTTAACCTCAAACAGCATCCAGGGGTAAGAGGACACCCTTAAGCTCCATCAGCTTCAAGGTGAAGACCCTCTCAGTATTGTGCATTTTGTATCACACTAATAGAAATTAATATTTAGAAGTCTCTGCGTAAAAATAACTGAAAACTTTAAAAACACAACATGACCTGACCTCTGAGGTCAGTTCAGTCAGTGGCTTGCAACACTAGGGTGCAAAGGTTTGACTCGAACGAGGCGGGAGAGCCCGAGCCGCAGACCCTGACCGGGAGACTTCACTGCTGGACTCTGGGACGTGGAGGGACTTTTTCCAATTTGAGCTGGGAGGAAAAAACAGAAATAAATTGATAAATATGCTCAATTGAGTTAATTTTACAGGAACATGTTCCAGCTGTGCTGCTGTTCAGTCATTCAGCACCTGGTGGGTTCCACTTGGGCATTCTTCCCGCTGCTGGGCTCAGGGAGGCTGCTGGGCTCAGGGAGGCTGCATGCTTCGATGTGCAGCCTGTGGAGGATGACGCAGGTCTTTTAGAGGCAGGTTTGGCCGTTGGAGGTGTTGTCACTGGGGTAGAAGCTGCTGTGAGAAGGAACAGCACTCATTCAAATGTGAAATTATGATTCGCAGACAAAAGCTGATGATCCTCATGGGCTTACCTGCTGCTTGCGATTTAGGCTTTGATGGTTTTGATGGTTGCTTTTCTTTTTTAGAAGCAAGAATCTGTTTGTTTTTTTCACTCTTTGTTGCTTTTTCTTTCTTTTTAGTCTTGCTTGCTTTCTTTACTTTGAACTCGTCATCTTCGCTCTCAGATGGTTCACTGAAATCTTCATCGCTTTCTGAATCTGCAAAAGCATTATTGTTACTTTAAAGACACAAAAAGAAAGACAAAAAATGGATACAACTACTTAAAAAGTTATGGCAAAGTAACCTGGTGTCAGTTTGGGTTGATAGTCATCATCATCATCATCACCATCCTTGTTTTTCAGCTCCTCAGTAGCTTTGTAGGCAGCCTTTCTCTGCCTGGCAGGGGCAGGCGACCCTTTCTCTGATGTGATTTTGTCCAAACCTGAAGAAAACCCATAATGATATTAAACCTAGGGAAGGAAATCAAATCTTCAACTACATAAATAAATAAAGCTGCTAGACTTTACCCATAACTGCACCATCCACACTGCAGTTGGACAGGAGCAGAGAAGCTGGATCTGTGTTTTCATCTACTGGAAATTTGACATCTCCTGGATAAATTTATCAAGAAATTAAGCCAACATCCTTTTGATCACATGAAATGTATTGATCATTTTAAAGAACAAATCATACCTCTACTGACATGAGACTGGTCCTTCACTTCACCTGCATTATTGAGCATGGAGAGCGTGATGGCTGCTTCGAGATCCCTCTCATACAGCTTTTCGTCCAGTGGCTTTCTGCACAAATGAATCAAGATTCAAGCCATGTTAGAGATTTTCACCTCTGAGCATTTCTAATGAATACAACTGATAAAAATGTAAAAGAAAAGACTACTTTTTGGTGACATTTTTTTATTTAACTCAGCATAATCAACATTTTGTTTTAAATTAGCGATTATCCCCACTGATAAGCCAGTCATCATTTTATCAGTGACTTTGAATGGCTTTACTATTCAACCACCTTAATGAGTTAAAGCATCACAGCGAGGCTTCAACCCAAACATTTATACGCAGTCTGCAGTATATTCTTTAAAAGTGACTGCTTACTTTCAAGCTGTCAGCACACCCAGTGCACCTCTCAATTAGGGCTGGGCGATATGGCCTAAAATCCATATCACGGTATAATTTGAAGCATGTGCGGTAACGATATATATCGCGATATATTCTTTTCTTCTGTGTAACGTATTTTACACACTATAAGGCACACTTAAAATCCTTTCATTTTCTCAAAGATCGACAGTGTGCCTTGTGCATGAATTCTGACCTCGAACTGGTTTTATGTAGTACACGGCACATAGAAATCTGTCAAAAAATGTTTTAGTACGACTTTGGTATGGCTTGATGGACTGCTGGAGCATTACGGCTGCCGTAGTCAGGAGCCTCACGCAGTTTTGCCAACTCCTCAGTAAGGAAAATCACTATTGGCTGACCGAAAAGTCGCTAGAAGTCGCTAAATGACGTCATCGCCTAATTTGCATAATAGGTCATGCTAATGTAATTGCAACCTACGCTGTTGGAGAGAGAAATAACATTGTGGAAGAGAAAGTGAGTAAAAAAATGTCCTAAATGCATTTAGAATTTATTAACTACAAATTAAATTTCTTTTAGGAATTATTGTTTTTTTAATGTCACAATTCCAACCCTGCTCCTTTATCCGGGCTTGGACCAGCAAAAGTGACCCGAAATTGGCGCTCTGGTGGAGTTACTTTGTGTGTGTGGGTGTGTGTTTATTAGTAGTTTTAAACCTTGTGATCCACAAAACTGCATAACAGTAAAAGAAGAACTGACTGCGTTACAGTCAGTGCGGGAGCAGCGGCTTCGCTCATGCGCGATTCATTTGCAGTTTGGACGCATAGGTGTGAACATCTCCTGCCCTGATAGCAGCTGGGGGAGGACTATCCTCCGCCTGTGAGCGCTTTGGCACGGGTGAGGTGCCCACGGCAATCTTCAGTCAGGAGAACAACTGAGATAATCCATCCACAATACGAAGTTAGTCATTCATATACTGCAACAACATGGGAACAGAGCAGCTGCGAGAGAATTCAGCATTAATGAATCAATGGTACGGAAGTGGAGGAAGCGCAGTTTTTGGCTTTCCCCATATTCCAAAAGTGCTTCGTCTCTTTGCGATTACTGTCGCTCGGCATAATTTGCAGATGATATTGTTTGCAGCCGCTGCAATGCTTTCGACCAAAAAAGGCGCAGCTTGATGACACCATCAACATGCGCTATCGCGGTAGAGCGGTATAGTCAAAATCTCTACTGTTGGCCAAATTTATATCGTTTCTACCGTATACCATTTATACCGCCCACCCCTACTCAATCTAAACTAACAGTGATGAACTCAACATGAACACATAATTTTGAACAAAGTTATAATTTCCACTGCTTATCTCCAGCGCTTAGCTACTCATCTCAACAAAATATGAACCCATTTTGAAAATCTATTAATGCATTGGCGCTAGACCCGAGTAGCTTTACTTTTGGACTGGTATTTCTTTACATATCATATCTACACCTACAACAAAAGACCAAAAATCTGTGAGTTTAATCCTTTTAATCATCGTGTGGTGCAATATTGTCATGGGCCACAATGACTGAGATTAAAATAAGCAAATGTGGACATTAGCTTGTTAGTATTTTACCTTACAATATAAATCGCCTTGAGGTGACTGTTGTTGTGATTTGGCGCTATATAAATAAAACTGAATTGAATTGAATTTCAAACCATAAGACCAGTGTTTCCCAAAGTGTGTCCTGCAGCCCCCTCGTGGGCCTTGAAGGTAGTGCAGGTAAGCCAAGAATCTGACCTAAATACGACGTTATTCTTAAATGTTGGGCCCATTTTGGATCTTGAATGCATCTTATAGTTCATTGTTAGTGAGCAAAAACTATACTAGTGTTACCAGCTGTAATTTCAGAGGATCAGCTAAAAGGAAACACTGCACAGGGCCATGTGACGACCATAGGCTTGGGTGGGCCGCTTAACATTTTTGGGCTTCAAAATGGACCGCGGCCATCGTAAGCTTGGGAATGGCTGCATTAGACAATGACGCACAAAATGAATTATGTTAAACTATGAATTTGGTCGGTGTGCAGGTTAGTTTGAAACAGGCTGTTTGCAGCACAGAAGCACTCTCAGATTACGATGAAAACGTTACATAAACCTATCCTCTTTAAATGCTGTTCTCAACATTGCTGCCTGTAACTCTATCTTTAAACTCTCTCCGGTATGAAAAAAAAAGTTCTTATACGCGAATACATTAATACAGACTCTTCCTGTACAGCCATTATCATACATTTACGGTACTGTGCTTGTGTCTGTTTGTAAAGATATTTGCCTACTGACAGTAACCAATGCAAACACACTCCTATACATGCCCACTTCATGCTTCTCAAGGTGTGTATCAACCAAATGCTGACGAGCTGAGAAGTGGGCCAAAACAGGGAAAGGAGCGACAAAGGAACGCAAAAAAAGAAAAGCAAAGGTACAAGATGAAAAGCAAAGACAGTGGCTGCAGTGGACACTTGATTATTTTTAATGCTCAGCTTCACTTCAGCTCTTTTGTGCTTTAGAACTTCATTCTTAGCAGATAGCGGATTAAAACCAAGGGCAGCACAAGCAAGAGTAACCCACAGAGTGGTGGCACCACCGCCCCCTGCAGGTAGATAGGTAACCTGTAGCTGCCTAATGGACTGAAGCAAAACTTCCCAATATTGCAGGATATACACAAGTGGCGCGCCCTCTGCTGGAAACAAACTAAACAGCAGTAAAACTGGTAACATTTATTCTCAGCAGGTTTCATGAGCCCTCTTACCTGACTGTCACAGCCAGTGTCAGATTAACTCGCCACCTACCTGTTCTTCTGGCTTGATTGTGAGGTGGCCTCTTGACTGGAGGACTTGCTTAATGATTTCTTCTGTTCTTGTTTCACATCCTCCCTGACCTTTTTGCTGGGTGGGGCCTTCACACAGGCAAAATCCTCATCTATCACAAAATGAGGACAAAGGACAAAGATACCATTGTTAAGACTGGAAAGGGAGTCCTTTGGATTACACATGTGCACCCTACTGTACTACAGGTTTCCTGGAATTTAAGAGTCTTCTGCAAAGCAACAGTATCTAATAACACGTTTTTTGTTGCAATGTCTTTTTCCTGATCACACCACTTTGTCTTGCACGAAATAGCACCACTGCAGTGACTGCGATTTATCAAGTTAACATGAGACATCTAGGCAAGGCAAGTTTATTTATATAGCACAATTCAACAGCAAGGTGATTCAAAGTGCTTTACAGAGACATTAAAAAACAAAAACAAATAAAAAGGATGATTTAAAATGGAAAAGAAGAAGAAGAAGGGAACAGTAGATAAAATCAGTAGTTAAAATGTAAGTTTTGAAATTTAAGCTTAAAAGTAAAATAGTGTGGATTTGGTGCTTTATTCAAATGCAGCTGAGAACAGGTGAGTCTTCAACCTGGATTTAGGTTCATACTGGGTCAGGAGGTCACTGATGTATTTTGGTGATAAACCTTTCAGATCTTTATAGACCAGCATCATAACTTTAAAGTCTATCCTCTGACGGACAGGCAGCCAGTGTAAAGACCTCAGAGCTGGACTGATGTGGTCCTAATTGTATCCATCCTTGTAACTCCAACAAAAATCTGAGCATCATCAACTCCAACTCCTGTCAAAACCATACTTGCATCTCGCAAACCTTCCCTTTCACTCTTGCTGCTACCCTTCAGCCACTCGTCTCCACCCACTCCACCCTACCTGCACTCTCTTCTTCACCTCTCTTTGCTTTAGAAAACTGACCCCGGGTATTTAAACTCGTCTACCCTCACATTCTAGTGACTGTATATTAATCTAGTTTCTCTGTTTCTATCCTCTGTAAAGCACTTTAAATTGTCTTGTGTAAATTTGCCAAGATTTTTCTGTTTATATAGAATAGCAGTCATATCTTTAGTATATTACACACATTTTGATATTAAAGACTAATTTCAAAGCGTGTAATTTCGTTTTTGAACGAACCTACATGTCCTTGTGTAAATGCTTTATGTAAGATTATAAAATGATGACATGATATGCTATGCTTTGCTATTTCTTTATCACACTGTGGATCAAATGGGCCAGGATAACAGATTTTCAATTTTACTCACCATCATCGAAGTCCTTGGTCTCACAGTAATTCACAGTCTTTGTCTTCCTGTGTGTCAACAATTAAAAAACAACAACAAACAAACAGTTTTTAGCATCACCAGATCTAGGTTACCCAGGCATCGACAAAAGCAGTAGCTTACCTAGATGGTCGGTCCATAGCTCGCTTTTTAGTCAGCTAACAATAACCGCATTGATACGGCTAATCAACACTACTACTCCCTCCAGCTGCGTGAAGGCTTTCGATCTCCACACGATAACAAAGTTAAGGTGTCACTTTTTGTGAACTATCCGTAAACTGGACTATCCGTAAACTATAAAACTTTAGTTACACAAGCTTAACGTGAGGTATGTCGGTCCCCCGAGCTCTCAAACAGCCCGCCTGAACGGAGCAGAAGTGACGTCAGTTGTTTACCAATCTACCGGAAACCGGAAGCAGATTCGTTTATTTCTAAACAAAACAAAAGAATACAGAAGAAGAGTCAGTTTGCGGCAACCTGTTTTAATCTTTCAAATCAGAAATAATCAGAAAGCAATAGATAATTTTCTGTTTTTCTTTTTAACTCGTTTTTTTAAGGTGTCGAATCTGCTTCACTCAAATAGCTTGGTGCAGCTTTGCTAAGTTCGCCCGTCTAAATGGCTTGGTACTGTGCAAAAATCTTGTGCCACCTCATTTTTCTCTATAGTTTGATGTGAAATGTGAATAGATACATCAGTTTATTAAAACATGTGCAAACACATGTGCAAATGCCGTATATAAGGCAAAAACAGAGTTTGAAAATCAATATTTGGTATGAGCACCTTTGTTCAACACAGCCTGAACTCTCTTAGACAATCTTTCTTGTTTATTCTTCGGGAATAGTTCTCCAGGCTTTGTGAAGGTCATTCAAACCTCTTCTTTGGATGTTAGCTATCTTTCGTTGGTCCCACTCTGTTTCAGTAATGTTTTAGCCCGGGCTCTGGGAATCCATGACCTTTCTATCTAGGTAAGATTGGGATTATTGCCATACTGAAACATTAAGCTGTTGCCAAGCAGATGCTTTCCAGATGATATTGCAAAATCTGACAGTATTTTTCTGCAATTATAAGTCCATCAATTTTGACAAGATCCCCAACAGGTTGAAATGCAGCCCTAAACCATTACAGCCTCCACTGTTTTACAGATGGCTGCAGACTCACTGTTGAACCTCAGTCTTAACCTCCTGACAACAGTTCCAAAAATTTGAGACAAAAATTTCACATTTGCATTCATCACTCAATCAGGCCTGTTGTCACTGATTTTTAGTGCAGTTTATTTGTAATTTGGCATACCTCAGCCTTTTCTCCATCTTTCCTTTCCTTAAAATAGCCTTATACAGCTGCCCTTTCACTGAGACCATTTCTGATGAGGCTTCGGTGAACAGTAGGTGGATCAAATGAGGGGCCAGATGCGTATCTCATCTTTGCTGGATTTTTTTTCTTGTTTTGTAAGTACGAGACTTTCAGATACAGGTTGAAATGCAACCAGTTTGTCTCCAGTTAAATGAATCGGAAGAATCATGTCAAATTCAAATTCAAATTTTATTTGTCACGTACACAGTCATACACAGTACGATATGCAGTGAAATGCTTAGACAACTGCTCGTGACCTAAAGAAAAAAAGGAAAAGGCTATGAATAAGATAGGAAATAAATATGAAAAATTAAAAAGGGTAAATTTAACTAGGAAGGAATAAAATATAAATTAAGGTTAAAAATGAAATAACTGTACAACACAAATTAGAATGAAGGGTAAATTTAACTGGGAAAGAATAAGATAAAATATATAAATTAAAGTTGAAAATAAAATAACTGTACAACAAAATACACAATACACAGTATAGAACTATATAAGAATGTATGAAGAAATATAAATAAATATATACACACAATGCAGCTGTACAAGTATTAACTGGAAATGAAAAAGAGGGATTTTTTGTATTTCCTTCTTTTTACAAGGTGGATCTTTGCTCTTGCATGTACATGACAGCTGATACTGGGGTGTAACTCAAACTACAGCGAGTAAGTAATATAACAAATTACTTTCTACACAGAGTAAATAAGGAATCTAGTTATGTCTTTAGGAATGATTAATAGAAAGGAACTCAGAGACTGCAGTTGTGGTTCTATTGTGTAGTTAAGCCAAAATTCGATATGCGAGAACTAATCAAGGATTACAGTTAATAATAATGGATTGCATTTATATAGCGCTTTTTGGGACCCCTCAAAGCGCTTTACAATACCACTATTCATTCACTGGTGAAGGCAAGCTACAGTTGTAGCCACAGCTGCCCTGGGGCAGACTGACAGAGGCGAGGCTGCCATATCGTGCCATCGGCCCCTCTGGCCATCACCAGTAGGCGAAGTGTCTTGCCCAAGGACACAATGACCGAGACTTTCTGAGCCGGGGCTCGAACCGGCAACTTTCCGATTACAAGACAAACACCCAACTCTTGAGCCACAATTGCCCCTCTAAGCCCAAGACTAAATGACCCAGGTTTACAGTAAATATAGTGACCTGGACTTTTCCATCAGTTTGTGTGAATTTTATAATCCAGTAGACAGACAGGCAAACAAAAGCCATATTTTTACCCTGAAAAGGAAGTCTTAGGTTAACGTTTTTCTTTTTCAGTGCACTTGCAACAATTTGAAGAATTCTGCTACAGAGAGCTGACAAACGTCTTTTTTTTAATAAATCATTTAGATAAGAAACTGGTTCAGTCTAGTCCGGGGTTAATGCAGAAGATCAGCGCTTAATTAAGCAAAAACTTTAGGATCTGAAACTTTAGCTTTTGAGACTTTGGTGTAACATATGCTACCTGCCACCTTGTGTCTTGCTTCCCTTAATATGCCAAATTAGTCTAAAGTAGTTATTCATTCCACACCTACAGTACCAGGCTGCCAAGCCTAAGTTTGCACAAGTGCAGATGTAGGTGTGTGGGGGACTAGAATGAAGAAATAAACATCACTTACTTAAAAATATATGTAACTAATATCTTTAAAATGGTCTAAAAAAGTGTTTTTAAACTGTCATCTGTGCTAAATATATTTCAGATCAAATACATCTCTCTGGAAACTTGTGGTTTCTGGATTGCATCTTAGCCATCATCTTGTATGAAAGTTAACTTTGAGGAGTCATTTCTGCTTCTTTATTTGCAAGCAGTGACAGTATCAGTCGTGTCAGACAAGTTACCAGCAGATGGCAGCATAATGCCTTCTGGTCTTGGTTCACAGAGGTACAGACTCTGACTGGCTGATTGACATGAACCTGACATGTCCTCTGCTACTCAGTCGCCCACACTCAGGGCGGAAGCAATCACGGCTCCCTCTAAAGTGCAATGAAAGTAAAATCCCTCCATTTTTACTGCACATTCAAGAGAAGGGCAGCTGTCCCGAGGGTTGTCATTTTCTAGTTTGTGAGTGGGTGGCTGTCGGCTGCGGTTTGTCACACAGTGGACCTTGAGGAACAACCAGGGATGTGATGGTCCACTCCTTTGGACCCAGACAAGGGAGGAGAACATGCATCCACGGGGCCAAAAGGCCCTGTGGTCACGCATTCCTAAACTCCTCCAGCACTGCCTACAGCCACGACTAAAATATCAGATCCAGTCATGCAAACACTGCGGTCACAACATAACGCTTCCATTCACACATATATACATGCTTATATTATATTTATTCCGGTGCTACTAATGACAGGTTGAGCACACCCCTGCATTCTCTTAAAATGCCGAAGTTAATCCTGAAACGACAGTCACGTTTCTCTGGCACATCTACACGTATACATCCATTTATAACTGTAGGGAATGTTTAGAATATATGCTGCTACAGTTAAAATTACCACGTCTAAATCCTATATGTTCCCAAACAAAGTCACATGACCGCTAAAGAAGGAAAGACTGTTACATAAACTAAAGTAAAAGTAGAAATATCCTGTTAGTGAGTTTAGTGGCAGTTATATGGGTTTATATTGTTAAGCTATGTGATGATAATTTGTCTTTAAAAAAGGTAATACTGCACATTTGTGCATGTTTTAGTGGTGTACAGTCTGTGAATTAATCTCAAGGTTAAAATGTCAAAAATGTAAAACATAAAGATAATTATTTTGCATTTTAGACTGCAGTTATAGTCGCTCTAATTCATAACAAACCCTGTAACAAAGCCCAAACTGAGTAACTATTTTACAGCAGTTGGCTCTATGCATGAAAGACATGAGTAACGAGGTCCAGAGGGACAAGGGGGATTTGGGGTAACTGTTTCTCTAATTTACTTATGCAAATTAATCCTTGTTAGATTTAATTTGTGGATTATGTAACATATTTAAAAATTCATAAAGATTGTTTTTTTTCTTTCTCTGGCAACACTAGGCAGCATTACTAGGCTATTTTGGACCAAGGCATCCAGTTGGGTTTACTAGCCTAGTTGGCATCCATGAGGTCATCAGTGGTCTTAATTTCAGCTTGTTTGTTGGAAGTGGTCAGGAGGCAGTTTCCCCGCCCCCCCTCAACCACTGATGTGAATGCCATCATTATGCGCTCTATAGCATCTCAGAGTGGTAGTTTGTGTGGGGCTCTCTGAGCCCTGCACCCATGCCCCTGTATGGTTGTTCCGCAGGTGGAGACTGCAGTGTTGTTATTTACATTCCTCACAGGGCAACGAGAAACTAGACTGCTTCTGCACTATTAAGATATTTTAGGAACGTTGAAAAAATATAGTGTTGTGCATGAATATGATTGAGTACTGCTGTTAATGTAACAGAAGTACTCCATAGGAGGTTATTTGTCCTTCCAAGCTGTGTTATTATGCTGCAAACCAGGCATATTTTTAGGTGCTCGTGGGGACAAAATGCTCTGTCTGAGAGAACATTCATAGGTCGGGGGCACCAATTAGTTACAAGCCTCAAACTAAATTTGTCTTGATGGGCTCTTAGTGTTTCGGATATCCGGCGTTGCAGTTGTGTCAGAGTGCTGTTTGTTATTGTAACCTAGAAATGGCCTTGCATCTTCAGACGTGGAGCGGCGGCGACCACAGCACTGCCACAGCAGCCACAGCTTTAGCCAGGGGATCAGAGTGGGCAGACAGATCTGTCAATCAGTGGCTTCCGGAGTTTGTTGTCTTAGACCTCGTCTTCTGAACTGCATGCTTTCACGGGAATTTTCACTTTTTTTTGGTGTACACATGCGGCGGCCACAAAGCTAATTGCAAGGGAGATGAGAGGCCGCCGAGGTACAATCGTGAAGAGATTTTAGGACATGTAGGTTGCGCACACTGACACGGCAAACTGACATGTCAGTGTGTCCAGTTAAAAGTTATGATTGTTTAAAGCATTGCAGGATTAAAGGATCAGGCAGTGTTGGTTAGAGGATGTTAAAGGCTTGCAAACCTTTAAA